TGTCTCCAGCGGAGGGAGACAAAAAACCGTGAGCTAAAATCTAATATTTTTCCCGTGTATAATACACTAGTTTTTTCTGACAGAAGAAAGGACGAATCAATATTGAGAAGATATTACAATATTTTGAAATCTGAGAATTATCGACGTGAAATTTTAAGTTTTAACCAGTAGGGACACCTGCGTTGTAGCGTTGATTGATATATTACGCTTACGCTTTTCTAAATAACATTTTGCTGAATTTCCTGAAATAAGGGTACTTTATTCTTGAGCAATTTTTATATTTTTCGACTACTACCTACCTTGTATGTTGCTGAATTTCCTGAAATAAGGGTACTTTATTCTTGAGCAATTTTTATATTTTTTGACTACTACCTACCTTGTAAGCTGTGTGACTTGCAACCATTCTAAGTGCACCTAAAATGGTTACCAAACATCGAGCCAAACATGCACCAACTTTCGGCACTATCTGTATTTTGGTTGTGCAATTCACAGATTCCCATATGTTGCACACTTAAATGACCACACTGTATACAGGGTGTGTCTAAATAACAGCGAAAAAATTTAAGGAGTGTTTCCCTGTGATATTTTAGGAAATAAAGTTCATATAAACATGTGTATTAATATTAACTTGCTTCGTTTGCGAGATACAGATGGAGAATCGTTTTTTTATTCATTACTCAAATGTCTTTCCATCAATTTCAATAAAACGTTGTGGTTTTGTTAATATTAATGTGGAGCTTCTTCTAGTGCCATTAGATTCAAAATAATATTTCCAGTGGCCCAATCTGTTCAATACTGGACCAACTTGTCTAATCCTCAAGGAATATTACCAATAATGTTTACAAAACCGGACGAACATTCTCAATCTAGGACCACTTTGTCCAAATTTGTACCAAATGTTTCAATACTAGATCAATGTATTCAATCCTGAACCAATCTGTTCCATCTTACAAACAACAACAAATTTGTTCCATCCTGGACCAACTTGTTCAATCCTATATCATCAACCTTTCCGATGTTTTCAATTCAATTCTCAAATACCAACTTGTCAATAAATGGCACTCTTTGAATATTTAAATGGAGCTATTCAAAATGACCTTGAAATGTTGTAGCAAGGTAAGTAAAATAGGTACTTTATGATCTCAATTATGATAGGTACAACAATGGCAATAATAATTTACATTCACAATTATTATTAGGATCACATGGGATCATATAAGTCGGAGATATAAGTACTTAAGTCAGCAATACATTCATAATAAATGAATGTAGGTACCTAGCTGTAAAATTGTAGAATAATTCGAAGAAAAGGAAGGCATATTACTATCTGTTATTTGTTATATTCTCAAGACAGCATCCTGTCAGATCATGCCTATTGTTTCATGCCGATAAGATAAACGATTTTAAAATATCTGACGAAAAAATCAGAAAAATATATTCACCACTCATCACCTCATTCAATTTGGCGAAGTCAAAATAAACTGCTCAACACATGAAACGTAAAATCGCATTTTTTCGATCAAATTTCAATCATCATAACTTTCGAATTCCTCAACCGATTTTCAATTATTTTTTTGTTTCTGAAAGCTCGTTTCATCGACTATCGAACCTATGGATATGCTTATTTCATATCTTCTGAATGAGATTCTACCGGATGATAATCAAAGCTATGCATTTTGCCAAAAATTTCAAACGCCTTCCGTTTGATTTTTTTTTGTCAAAAACATTGCTTCATGTTTCTCGATAATGTAAAAATTTTTTTGGAATTGTCTCACGCGTTACTGAAATATGAATGTTTTATTAAGATAATGCATAATTTGATACTCTAATTTCTATTGGCTTTGTGTTCCTGTCAATCTGGTTCGATCAACCTATTCTTATATACAGGGTGGTCCAACTGCTTGTTAAGAATTCATGTGTTATTGAATTTTCATACTTTTCATGTTCACTTTGATGTTAAATTCAATTAAACGTGAGAGTAATGTGATTTGAACTGGTGTTATTGATGAAAAGTCATGGAAATGGAACATTGTGACTCTGATGGAATTTAATATGGGAAATTCATGTCCGAACATTAAATTTCCATGTGACTCAGGTCTGCCATTCTTTTGAATTTCGACAAATATTCAATATAAGTCCTTTGTGAAGACGTTCACCGCATATGAAATCACATCCTGATACTCAATAATCTATTGCAATTGTGATGAATTCTGTCAGTTGCATGGTATGTCTCGGCCGAGGTCTCGGCAGCAACTTTTTTTATTTAGACGACATCCTGTATATTTCTTCCGTCTATCTCATTTGCCTTGAAAGTATCTTCTGAAAATCTATCACAAATTGAGAACGACGCTCTGAAAATCCGGTTTTTTTAACAATTCCAGTGGTTTGATCTTTCAATAGATTCTGTAACAACTTGACAGGTGATGACAACCTCTCCTACACGCTTTGATCACGAGAAAACTTCTCAATCGGTTTAATGCTTCAAAATTTTCTTGCTCGTCAAAACAAGATTTTTTTATTACTTGATGTCCTAATTGTTGTTTGAGGACCACTATGTATATAAGAATAGGTTGAGCATGCTTCATTTCGAGATTTTTGACCACCATTCGATCCAGATTGACAGGAATACAAAGCCAATAGAAATTAGAGCATCAAATTATGCATTATCTTAATAAAACATTCATATTTCAGTAACGCATGTGACAATTCCAAAATTTTTTTTACAGTATCGAGAAAACATATGAAGCGATATGTTTTTGACCAGAAAAAAAATTGAAAAATTTTTCTTCCAAACGGGAGGCCGTTGAAATTTTTGAAAAAATGCACAGTTTTGATCATAATCCTGTAGAATCTCATCCGGAAAAGATGAAATAGTCATGTCCATAGGTTCGATAGTCAAGAAAACGAGCTTCCAAAAACTGAAAAATAATTGAAAATCGGTTGTGGAAATCAAAAGTTATGATGATTCAAATTTGATAGAAAAAATGTGATTTTACGTTTCATGTGTTGAGCAGTTCAGATAAATAACAATTATCAATATTGAGACCACATTGGAAAAAATATATCAAGTAAATAAGCAATTTGTAAGCAACACCAGTATTTAGTAAACCTTGTCATTAGACCAAACCAACTCCAAGAAACATATAGGTGCCAAGGTTAATGGCACTTAATGGTCACTAAAATGAATCAAAATAAATAAACATGCAGGTAGTGTAGGTTCAAAGAAGGGAAGATTTTTCCTCTGATAATAATTATCATCATATTGTGGAATATAGTGTGAATGAGATGTTGGAAGTCTAATATCACATATTCTTCAGGATACTTCCCACTATCTACAGGGTTATCCTCGGGGTTATCCCCTCAGTTATCCAAATAAAAAAAATATCAATATGCTGAAGCTGAGGCCAAGATGCAGCCATTTCACGGCCCTCAACAAAGATTCTACAGGGTGAAAACTGAAACCATGTGGAACAACTTAATTTTTTTGAGTGAAACACTTTTTGAGAATTTTTCACAGTATATTTGATGGATTTTTTAATATCTGTGATATTTCATGATGGTCCAAGAGTATTGGATATAGCTCGGGATATAGGGATATACCTTATTCATGTACAGAATTACATAAAAAATATACTAAAGACTCCACTAAGGCGTTTTGAAAGAATGTATTCCTGGTTTTCAAGGTCATCATCTAGTTTGCAATAATGTTAAAACTGGGGAAGACATGTAGAACTTTCAATCTATGCCAGAAGTTAGCAATGTTTTCCCACAGTTTTATCGTCATCATCACATCAGATAATGACCTTGAAAACCAAATAAGCTGATGTATTTCAATAAATAGGTGATAAGTCATGATAGTGTTTGTGACTTTAATCTTGTCAGTCAGAATATGTACTTTCTTGTATTTTGAAATAGAAAATTGAATACCCAGATTGTTACTTACCTATAATAGTTATATAAAGAGGAAAGTATTCTTTATGTATGAGATTGTGGATGAGTAATGGAATTGTCTTGATGGTCCTCATCTACAATTGAGACTACAATGTATGTCTTTTCCCCAATGAAACATCCAAAACCATCCATGGTTTATATGTATATGAGGACAAAAAAAATCTAATTTACTTGCTTTATGGGATACACAAAGAGATGATTTTCTTCCAGAATTGTGGATGCAGGCAGAATAATAACTTATGGTAGTATTAGGTACCAACTCAGTACCTATCTACTTGATGAATAAGTAAAATTTGTATTTACTCTATCCCAGAACATTCTTTATAAACAAAATCATAAAGTACCTACTCTCAATAACAAATTTGTCGGATGCTCCAAAATTTTGAAATTTTGTTTCATTGCTACTGACTGAAAACTGGGTTTTGTGGGACTTTTTTCAATACAGGACTTTGAATTCTTGAATATTCTGATGCAAATAATTATGCAATTACTGCTTGTCTGTCTTGTGAAAAATGATTTTGAGCAATAAGATTTATATTATGGCACATAACTAACTAGAATAATGAGAATTCACTAAGTGAAGCTCTAAAAATTGTTAGAATATAATGATTCAACAGGGCCAATTCTCAGTTTAACCCAGTAATATAATGATTCAACAGGGCCAATTCTCAGTTTAACCTCAAATAATCCCCTAATCCACTACAATCTCTACTGCATCTGCATACTTATTCAAAATAATATGGTTAGGTATATTTCAGAGATGTGTACATTTCAACAAGCCAATTCAAAAATAAACCAGAATTCTGGCCAAGCTATTTACAGATTTTTGTTCACCTACCTACCTCACAATACTTTTTCTCTCCATGAATCCTCTGTATTAGTCACTTGGTAGGTGGGTAAAGTGGTAGGTATACTTACTCTATAGATACTCTAGGCAGTCTAAACTATACAAGATACCCTTATATTCTCATATATGGCATACTCAAGGTCAACACATGCATTATATGACCTAGATAGACAGGATTACAAGTATTTTTCAAAGAGCTCACCTTGAATACCTCTGAGAAGAAACCCTCTCCAATTTTTTCCTTGTGGAAGTCATCTATTCGGTGCAGGGCAGCTACAGCATGCTTCAAAGCTTGGCAGGAAGAGCCTGTTTTCAGTCTGTCACTTCGAGTCCTGGAAGGCTCAGAGAGTTCATTATTTGGGCAGAATAACTTTTCGTAATCACTGTCCTTTGGGTTGCAAGGGTTGTCATATTGGCAGGAAATTTTAGATTTAGCAGCTGATTCATTTTTATTTGATGGGTACATCATAATACTGTGTTCAATAATCATGTAGTGTTAACCAAATATGTACACATTTGTGTACAGTTGAGTACCTGATGACTCTCTTTGATACACATACTTCAAATTTTTCAAGACAGATACATCAAAATCAGGAGTTTTTTAGGCATCACTTCACTTGACATCTGCAAATCTTGACTTCAAAGGGAAATGAGTGATCAGTGTTCAATTAATATTTATCATTCATAAATTAATATGACTACATCACGTTCAAGCCTGCTACCTGATCAAATAAAATATCGATACAAATGTGCTGTAGAATATGAGAACATTGGATGCACCAGACTGGAGACTGCATCAAAACTTTAGAAATGTATTTGGCACTTCAAATTAAATAGCACTTCACTCATTTCGTCTTATAAAAAAGGATGTGTTACTGCAATGCAAGCTCCAATTGAACCACAACGTAAGGAAATCACTTTTATCGGGAATAGTCGGACACCAAAACACCTTATTAATTTGTTATCTCAAACGTAAATAAAAGTTTATGAGACTGCAAAACCTTTCTCCCAACAACAGCACAGTCATGAGTTTGACTTAACACTAGCAGCAGTCATCTGCCATATTTCATACAGGTAAAGCTCAGAAATACGATCACCAAGGATTGGTATCTGACAAGTTGTGGGTCGGTGAGTGTAGAGATTAGACCGTTTGTGTAATCTATTTGATTTTGTTTAAGATTTTGAAGTCCACACGAGACATGCGCAAGTACAGAACCCGGTCAATTTGAATTTTTTCAATGAATTATAAATTCGAAAAAATTATTCTATAAACGCAAAGAGTAATATGAGCTGATGTATTCAAATCATCAGGAAATTAACATTAAAAACATACAGACAATGAGTCAGTGGTGGGATAGTGAATCGTAGGAATGGCTAGAAATATAAAATTTACATTAACACTTTTTGTCATGTAATAGTTTGTTGTACTACTCTGAAAATTGAATTTGAAACTGTAGCAGGAAATGAGACTCCTTGAACATTGTTATTTCACACACTTTCTTTTCCATATATTAACATTGTTTCCACCGCCTGGAATAGTCGATTAAATTAACATAATGAAAGTGCAATTCAAATCAACTAATTAAGAAAGGCCACAAATATATTTTATTGAGATATACAAAACATATTATTGTGATCACATGGTGTTACCAAATGTTTATTATATCAGATTATTTATGTAACTGGGTATAGGTATGTATAAATATCTGTGCAACCTTTTTGGGAATTTTGCAAATAAACATTATTCACTTTCCATTATAAAGCCTTCTATTAACAATAATGAATTGTAATACTAGATTATTTTTTCCTCAAATATTTCAAATATTTTTTTGAGTCATAGGAATCTTCAAGATCATCTTGTATTTGTACTTTTTTCTTTGGTTTTCGATCTTCCAGCTTAGCTCTTCTCTCAGCCTCACTCAAAGTCCAAATATTTATAGGTAACTGTAAAGAAGAAATTGATAAAATTGTTACTGAAATTGAAGATGGTTGTAGAGGTACCTAAAAGAGGAACAGTTAAAATTAAATGAACCTTGAATGATTATTGTTCCATCAATTATTTTTGAGTTATACATACTCTGAATCTATGATCACAGTTATGTAAATTGATCAATTATAGTGATTATGTTATTCATTATAGGTCATTAAAAATTCAATAACAATTTGAACAGACATTTTTTTCTGAAAATTCTCATCCTTATAAAGATTGGTAAGTACAGACAGTCCCAGTTTTGTGAATCTTGTATCAATATCAGTTTCAAAAATACTATACAGAGGGCTTATACTAAAGTATGTTGTAAGATGATGATAAACAACTTCAGTTCATTTATGGAACCTAATCCATAGAAGTATTCCCAAGAAGTTATAAACACTTATCCCCTGGGTACATGCAATGTTCTCCGTTCCCTTTCTTGTGCTAAGAGATGAAGAAAATATTTTAAATGCAGTTACAGAAAGTTTATTAGGTACTTATTTTAATAGGGTCCACACTAGGAAGCTTCATGAGAGGTTTAGAATACTTATACGTAATTGGAATACTTTCACAGACAGAGAAACCTTTACTGAATGTAGTGATGTAGTAGTTAGTAGAGGAATAGATGTAATATAGTGGAACTACCTTCACTAGTTTTCTAGGTTCACGATATCTTATGTTGATTGTAGAACCATCAGGATATGCAAGGACTGTTGGATAAGTTCTGACATAAATTTGTCTATGGGGTCTTGTGATACATGCTGAAATTGAACTCAGAGAGCGAATTTGTTGAAACCCTTTAGAAATTGACATATTATTTTGTTGAGTGAGGAGTTGAGAACTGTTTTGACATGACAAAATTGACTCAGGTTATTTCCTCTTCTTCTACTCATTTATTGGGTTCGTCGTTGGCCCGTTGCACTACACTAAAATGTTGCACTAGTGGTAGACAGTGTTGCCACTGTTGCCAGGGAACGAGTGCCTCGCGACCGACAGCTGCGCACGACTTAAAATTTGGGGTATGTTCCGTAAATCAACTAGGTTATATCGGATAGTAGTTTTCCGTTCCGTAAATATGAAATGTTCGGTTGTTTCCTGAAAAAAGGTTATTTACGAAACTCTGTTGCTCAAAAAAGCGGTAGATATAATAACATTTCATTGTGTTTAACCATGTCGTCATTTCTTTTTGGGTGCATTTCCCCTACCTGTCCTTGGGTTCTCAAAAAGATTTGTTGTTTATTTATCTTTTTCTTTCATTGTTGATGTGTGAACCTATAAGTAATTGATCATGTCTATGAAAAAAACGAAAAAATCAAGTTGTGTGCAATCATCTTGTTGATGGATGATTTTACCTGTTTTGTTAGGAGAAAAAGACATATATTACTTCATTTAACCGAAGAGAATCATCGGAGTATTGCCACGATCACTGCACCGAAATTGTCTCCTGACCGTGTGACGGTCGGATTAAAATAAACGGAGCATCATTGGAAAAACCGTAACATTGGAAAAAACATTTTTCACCGAAACCTAACCGAAACAGGTGCAATAACGTCTCGTATGGTTGGAGCCAGAATGATGGATGTAGTATGCTGCAGCTGACGGGAGTCACTCGTTAAAATTGTCAAAAGTCAGAAATGTCAGTGTTTGTCAAGGTTTGTTTGCCAACTGTCAACTTTGTTGACACTGTCAAAAATAGCTGTCAAACGTGTTAAGTAAGGTCAAGTCTGAGGTCATGTCGTAGACCAAAATCAAAACATTGAAAATAACATGAAACGGAGGTAAATTTATCATTCAGTGATTTCATTGTGTAATCAATTTACTGTTCGAAGTTAATTCTCAATCTCTATTCCTTAGTTTCGTCTTCTCAATACCAAACCTCCATAAAAATTACAACTAGAAACTAGAACTAGTATTGCCTTGGAACTCTATTCAGCTTTTTATAAAAGTGCAGTGTTCAATAAGTGGAGTTTCTTTTTGTAAAGTCGTGTATATTTTTTATTTCATAAGTTCTTTATTCCATCATAATAAATATCATAGTGACTAGTGAATTAGGCATAATTTTCATGCAATATTGATAATAGCTAATTCTCACAATGACAACTTTTCATGTTGGTCAAGATGGGCCAGTTAATGCATTGGCATTAAATAAGGATTACACTCAGGTGGCTATAGGTGGAAGAAATGGTGAGTTGTTGTTTTCAGTTGAATTGAACCTGTTATTAACACAATATTTTTCAGTGTTCAAAGTATACAGTATTGAAGAGGACAAGTTCAGAGAAATATGTAATGTGAGGAAACATCTGAATGCAGGATTCTCTTGCAATGATGTATCTTGGAGTCCCTCAGATGGTAAAGTTTCCCATAAAAATGATGTCATAAAATCAAAGGCTACCATTAAATTGCAGATCATTTTCTGGCAACTGCTGCCACAGATGGCCATGTGTCAGTATGGAATATTACACAAATGGGTAAAGCTGTGCAAGAACAGGACTACCAAGACCATAAGCGTACTGTGAATAAGGTTAAGTTCCATGCATCTGAACCAAATAAGCTTATATCTGGCTCACAAGATGGTACAATGAGATATTTTGATATAAGAGTCAGGAATGCTGTGGCAGTTTTTTATAGGTATTCAACATATTCTATAGTTTTAAGCCTTCACATTACTGTCACCATCACAGTTTGATAAAATGTGATGATACATAGCTTATTAGTCAATTAAAAGTGGTTTTTGACATAAGAATCATAAAGAATCATAATTTATTTTCAGCATTACTGATTTGCATAATAGGAAACATTTAATGAAAGCAATAAAAGTGTCATGTCAATTTTTAGTGAAGTTCTTGGGTTACATATCTTTTGAGATGAATATGAAAATTTAGCCCTGATTTGTGTAAACCTATTCAAATAATAGATTTTGGATTCATAAACCACAAACCCATTGTTAAAAATATTGTACAGCTCTGTTTTCAGCCTTATAGTTACATCATTGTGATAGGTAGAAATCAAATGTTGCATTCAGGGATGATTGTATGTTACAAATTGCAATAAGAGATACTCCATTGTAAGCTCTATTGCAAGTGACAAATTAAAGTTTGTATGGTACAACTACAACTTAAATAATTAAGAGTTGATTGCATATTATGTTTCAGGATTATTGCATGTTACATCTGCAACTTATGATCAACTTTTATAAGTATGTTATTCATTGCAATTAGGGATATTTTCAGGATACAGAGTGTATTGTGAGATAACTGCAAGTTATGTGGTAGTTTGAATGGTACAACTACAGCTACAATGCATTTAACAATTTGCAGTTGGGAATAATTGCAAGTTACAACTTGTGATCAAGAGTTATTCCATATAATATATAATACACAACAAAATTGCAACTAGGTTTAATGATATTACAACCAACTAGTTCCACCAAATGAAAATTGCATGCAAAAGCTTGAATTCCTGTTGATTTCACAATACATTGTGTCGACATTGTGCAACAATATTAAGTAGCAGAGATGATTTTCAGCTTGAAATTGCAATAATTATGGGCAATTGTAAGTTATGACTGTCAAGTTATGTATTGTGATTATACCAAAACAAGTTGCATTTTGCAATTAGATGTGCACATTGCAAGTTACAACTGACTATTTATATCACTGCAATGAAACTTTCAATTGTGTCTAATTGCAACTTGCATTTTGCTATTGAGTTTAATAAACATATTTTCTTATTTTCACTTTATACCAGATAGTGGCAGATAGCACAAGTTAAGTGTATTCATAGATTATTCATAGAAGCACATGATGGAACATTCAAATGTACTCAGAATATTCCATGATACAATATTCCATGTTCATTGATTGGACATCCAAAGTGCACAAAATTTTATGTTCTAACAGCTTTCTTTAGTATACTTGTGGATTTTCTGAGTACATAATTATTATAATATGCATGGATGATTGATAGATAGATAAAATGAAAAAAAAAAAAACGGATTTGAACCCAGTACTTTCAGCATTTCCGAGGAGTAAACCACGGTGGAATTCTGGTGTACAAACAACTGGAATTCATTGGAATTCCCTGGATTTCCTTGGAATTCCCTGGAATTCCTTGGGTGAAATGCAGTTCCTGGGCTACAAACACCTGGAATTCCTTCAATTTCCCTGGAATTCTTTGGATTTTCTTGGAATTCTTTGAGTGAAGTGTGGTATAATTCTGGTGTACAAACAACAGGAATTCTTCGGAATTCCTAGTAATTTCTTGGAATTCCTTGGAATTCCTTGAATTTCCTTAGACTTCCTTGGAATTCCTTGGATTTCCTTGGAATTCTTTGGAGTTCCTTGGATTTCCTTGGATTTCTTTGGAATTCCTTGGATTTCCTTGAATTTCCTTGGAATTCCTTGGATTTCCTTGAAATTCCTTGGATTTCCTTGGAATACTTTGGATTTCCTTGGAATTCTTTGAGTGAAGTGTGGTATAATTCTGGTGTACAAACAACTGGAATTCATTGGAATTCCCTGGATTACCTTGGAAATCCCTGGAATTCCTTGAGTTGAATGCGGTATATTCCTGGGCTACAAACAACTGGAATTACTTCAATTTCCTTGGAATTCTTTGGATTTCCTTGGAATTCTTTGGATTTCCTTGGAATTCTTTGGATTTTCTTGGAATTCTTTGGATTTCCTTGGAATTCTTTGAGTGAAGTGTGGTATAATTCTGGTGTACAAACAACTGGAATTCTTCGGAATTCCTTGGATTTCTATGGAATTCCTTGGATTTCCTCAGACTTCCTTGGATTTCCTCGAAATTCCATGGATTTCCTTGGAATTCTTTGGATTTCCTTGAAATTCTTTGGGTGAAGTGTGGTAAAATTCTGGTGTACAAAGAACTGGAATTCATTGGAATTCCCTGGAATTGTTTGGGTGAAATGCGGTATATTCCTGGGCTACAAACAACTGGAATTACAACTGGGATTCCTTCAATTTCCTTGGAATTCTTTGGATTTTCTTGGAATTCTTTGAGTGAAGTGTGGTATAATTCTGGTGTGCAAACAAGTGGAATTCCTAGGAATTCCTTGGATTTCCTTGGAATTCCTTGGATTTCCTTAGAATTCCTTGGAATTCCTTGGAATTCTTTGGAATTCCTTGGATTTTCTTGGAATTCTTTGAGTGAAGTGTGGTATAATTCTGGTGTCCAACAACTGGCATTCTTTGGATTTCCTTGGATTTCCTTGGAATTTCTTGGATTTCCTTAGACTTCCTTTGATCTCCTTGGAATTCCTTGTAATTCTTTGAAATCCCTTGGGTGAAATGCGGTATATTCCTGAGCTACAAACAACTAGAATTCCTTGGAATTCCTTGGATTACATTGGAATTCCTTGGATTTCCTTGGATTTCCTTGGAATTCTTTGGATTCATTTGGAATTCTTCGAGTGAAGTGTAGTATAATTCTGGTGTACAAACGACAACAATTCTTCGGAAATCCTAGGAATTTCTTGGGTTTCCTTGTAATTTCTTGGATTTCCTTGGAATTCTTTGGAATTCATTGGATTTCCTTGAAATTCTTTCGATTTCTATGGAATTCTTCGAGTGAAGTGTAGCACAATTCTGGTGTACAAACAACTACAATTCTTCGGAATTCCTAGGAATTCCTAGGATTTCCTTGGAATTCTTTGGAATTCTTTGGATATCCTTGGAATTCTTTGGATTTCCTTGAAATTCTTTGGAATTCCTTGGAGTTGCTTGGAATGGTGAACAAACAACTGGAATTCCTTGGTGTACACAATTTTCACCGCAGTTTACCACTCGAGCATTTCAATATTGTTAGCTTACCTCTAGACCAGTACACCTCTATGAATCAGTTATACAGAAGGAAATGATTAATTATTCAATGAATATTTTAGAATATTCCATTTCAGGACTTCCTATGAATGTTATTTCAAAATATCATTAGATCATTCACAAGAAATATTCAATGAATGTTCACAACTTTCTGAGAATAGTATATCTAGGAATGTACTGTCAGAACATTATTAAAATATCAACATGGAACTATCCATGAATATTCGTAACATTCAGAACATTCTGGAATGTACTTTCATAATATTATTAGAATATTCACATGAAACAATACATGAATATTCACAACAATCTGAGAAAATTCTGTAGATATTCCTCATGTAATATTCTACAAGGTCACATTTTTGCAGTTTTTAAGAATATGCTGAGAACCCTGCTGAGATTGCTGAGAATATTTGTGGTATATGGGATTAGATGATATTGGTTCAGGAGCTATATGTATATTAGCTTTTGTTGATGAATTGTAATGTAAATTGAGCATTAGTCAGAGTAAAATAACTTGAGTCCAATATTATGATACCCACAGAGATATTTGGTGGTTATAAAATTGGGAATTTATTTTTTTGGAAAATCGCTCAGTTGATATTATTGGCTCATTTTTTTGTATGTATGCATGCCAAAAGCTAGAATTTTAGATTTTTTATTATTTATGCTATTTTTAGTAATACCGAGAGTGTCAGAGATGTTCAATTTAGCCCACATAACCCGTACACCTTTTCAGCTGTATCAGATAATGGAAGTGTACAATTGTGGGACATTCGAAAACCAGAAAAATGCCAGCAACAATATACTGCCCACAGTGGACCAGTTTTCACTTGTGACTGGCATCCAGAGGCATTGTGGTTAGCTACTGCTAGTAGAGATAAAACTATCAAAGTTAGTAGGCAGTAGCTGTAGATTAATATTGGTTTAAAAAAAAATTACCATCAGATAATGACCTTGATTAATATGACATTGCAAAAAATAAAAATCCAATTAATCATTCCAGAATTACGTCATTTGACAGGTTGCTGAGGGGCAAAATTGTATTTTGTCAAGATTTGTCATATGAAACCAGAATCAGTGGGATCGTTTTCCTTGGAATCCGAGTTGGAACCAGAAAGAATTTCATAATTTTGTTTGGTGAAACTGTTATTATATTGTGGATATGGCAGGGATGGCCACGGCTATGCCCATCAAAGGTAACCTAACAGATAGTTTGTGTGCCCCTCAAGTCACCATGTCAAGATCACGTGTTCTGGAATGGTCAATGAAAACAGTGCAAACGAAATTGATTTAAGATAATAAACACCACAAATCCTTCTGATTTCGTTTTCCACAACTTTTCCATGTTTCAAAATGAAAACAAACCTATTGATCAAATTATATTTTCTTTGAATAGAAAAATCCACAAATCTCCATTACTAGATTTGACAGTTCCATGTAAATAATAGTCTTCTCACAAGTAATATGCAGTATAGATTAATAAGGCAATTCAATGTTTAGTTAGAAAAAAGTTTGACAGTCGTTGACGTTACAGTTGAAGTTAACAAAAGATAATAATCATAGCCTACTCATATTATGAACAATTTCATTTATGCATTTTTGTTTTTCATCGGATAATTACGCACAGTGCGATGGCTTGGGCCGTTTTTTATCATTCACGCTGTATAGATATCTACTTGCAAGCTCAAATTGAAATAATGTGTTTCCAGGTTTGGGATTTGACTAGCAAACCCACCCTCGAATATACCATTCACACCATAGCATCGATAGGTCACGTGAAATGGCGGCCGCAAAGGAAATACCACATAGCCAGCTGTGCTCTCGTGATAGACTGCAGCATAAACGTTTGGGATGTGCGTAGGCCTTACATCCCTTTCGCGTCCTTCAACGAACACAGAGATATTGCCAGCGGGGTGGCTTGGAGAGGAGACCCGCATGTGTTTTTGAGCAGTGGCAGGGTAAGAATTCCGCCATTTTGCCGGTTCATTGTGATTTGTATTGAGCCTTAGCAATGACTCAACCTACTGTCTAGTCCACTATATGTCATATCCCAACAAATCTTATTGGAATTGCGCGTCTGAAGAATCCAAACAGTCATTCACGACATCAGACTAAATTACAATCCTAAACGCCAAACGTGAATAAATGAATGAAATCACGAATGGTGGGGATAACTCTGCCGAATCACTGCCAGAGAATTGATTTTCTTCATAGAAATATTTAATATATTTAACACTTCCACCATCATTTGTGATAGATATGGGGTAACAGAGTCGTGCTTTGGTGATAGACTGCAGCATTAACGTTTGGGATGTGCGTAGGTCTTACATTCCCTTCGCGTCCTTCAATGAACACAGATATATCGCCAGCGGGGTGGCTTGGAGAGGAGACCCCCATGTGTTTTTGAGCAGTGGCAGGGTAAGAATTTCGCCATTTTGCCGGTTTATTGATAGTTTTATTGAGCCTTAGCAACGACTCAACCTACTGTCTAAACCGCTATATGTCATATCTCTACAAATCTCATTCAAAGTGCGCGCCTGAAGAATCCAAAAAGTCATTCACGACTTCAGATTGAATAACAATAGATAGGCACTGCGATTAATTCATAAATCTTTGAAAAATATACGCCAACAATCCTACACGCCAAAGGTGAATAAATGAATGAAATCACGAATGGTGGGGATAAATCCGCCGAATCACTGCCAGAGAATTGATATTTTCTATAGAAACATACAATATATCTAACACATACACCATCATAATTATGTGATAGATATAGAGTAACAGAGTCGTGCTTTGGTGACAGACTGCAGCATTAACGTTTGGGATGTGCGTAGGTCTTACATTCCCTTCGCGTCCTCCAACGAACACAGGGAAATCGCCAGCGGGGTGGCTTGGAGAGGTTAAGCATTTCGCCATTTTGCCGGTTGATTGATATTTTTATTGAGCCTTAGCAACGACTCAACAAACTGTCCAGACCGCTATATGTCATAGCTCAACAAATCCAAACAGTACCATTCATGATATCGAAATAAATTACAATAGATAGGCATCGCGATTAATTCACAAGTTAATGAAAAATATATGCCAACAATCCTAAACGCCAAAAGCGAATAAATGCATGAAACGAATGGTATCACGACAGATATAAAGTAACACGGTTGTGCTTTGTTGATAGACCATAAACATTTTTGATCCATAATTATAATCATGAAATCTTGAAAAAGTAAAACAAAAATGGAATAAAAAATAATGTTCACATCAAACGCAGATGAAACGGCCTTCTCTGGTACCCATTCTATAAACTCAAATATTGCATGACCTGCATGAAAAGAGAAATAGAAACAGCTTCGAGAAGCTTTTATGCACCTAGAATTCAGACTTATGTCACTGACGCACTAGCTCTATACTTCTGTCATCTGTGTTCTGTGTATGACCATTTGCCTATCAGTCGAACACATGACACAGAACCTTAGAACCCTAAATAAGATGGATGAGTTTGAATCATACGACTTCTATACACGAAATACTACCAGTAATCCAACAAGAAGTGCAAAAACCATTTGACAGACCAGCAACAGGTCAAGTACGAAAATTCCAATTATATGGCAGGTATAGTCTTACCTTTTTCCCATTTCTATATTTTTACAACAAATATTTCCAGTGGTTGGCATCACTGGGTTCATTGATCTTTGTGAGTCATAGCAATGACTCAACCTACTGTCTAGACCGCTATATGTTATATGCCAACAACACGAAAATCGCATCCGAATTGCATGCTGGAAGGATTCAATTCGTCAATCATTACAGTGACTCATGTCACTTGGTGTTCGGAAACATGAATAAGAGTGAGTAACATATATCACAAGTCTTAATGTCCTTTCGCGTCGAGCATGGAGATCTCGCCAACGGGGTGGCTTTTAGAAGAAACCCGCATGTGTTTTTGAGCTGTGGCAGGGTAAAAATGTTGCAATTTTTCTGGTTCATTGATCTTTTTATTGAGATATAGCGACGACTCAACTTACTTTCTAGACCCTCATATGTCATATCCCAACAACCCGGAAATCTCATCCGAATGGCGCGCCTGAAGGATCTGAACTGTCATTTATGACATTGAGTCATGTCACATGGTGTTGGGAAACATGAGTAAGAGTGAGTAAGATATATCACAAGTCCTAATGTCCCTTCACGTCGAGCTTAGAGATTTAGCCAACGGGGTGGCTTTTAGAGGAAACCCGCATGTGTTTTTGAGCAGTGGCAGGGTAAGCATTTTGCCGGTTCATTGATCTTTCTATTGACCCATGAGTCACCGAGTCAACCTACTGTCTATTTCGCTGTATGTCATATCTCAGCAACCCGAAAATCTTATCCGAATTGCGCGCCTGCAGGATTCAAACTGCCATTCATGACATTGGTGTTAGGGAACCAGTGACGGCTCGTCAGGGACGGCAGGGTCGGCCGGGCCGTATCAAATAATTTGGGGAAAATTACTGAACTATTTGATGAATAAAATTATTTTCCGAAACTGTTTTCATAATTCATCGCTCATTATCCTACTGTTATGCCACTATTATTTGAATTTTATTCATGGAACCTTTGAGTATGCCATCCGCATATACACCGAAAATCACGAACTAATTCAGGACCTACGACATCTGGTAATCCCATCGTCAAAACGCCGCTTTCAGTCGAAACGCTCGCGTAGCTCATTACACTGATGCAGACGGCCGGCCGATCGGTGATTTCATGTCACGACGCATCGCCACAGGCATCGCCTACAGATTCCCCGCTTCAAGTTTAAATTTTCGCTTATACGCGTCATACCTTGGGTACGGCCAAGCTCTGCTGGCCGTCCAACGTATCGATCGTACATATCAGTATTGTTTGCAGTGCGCTCGCTGTGCACCGTATCGAACCATTCCGACCTAATTTTTAATATACGGATTGGCATGATTGACATTCTATTTTCATTTTACATTGTAGATATTTATTATTTTAATTCCTATACTTATTTGTAAGTTGATGTTGGAATTTGAAATGTACAAACTGAAAAGAAAAATAATTTCCATGTTTTTGTTTACGCTTGCAGTAGTTGCAGTAAAAATGACTGGTGATTTGTGAATTTGCAATTTTTCAGTAATTCATAATTCAACATATCCATCTAATAAATATTGGTATCAGAATTTTCCTTCAGTGCTTCTGAGCGTCAATAAGATATAATTCAATTTGAATATTGCTGTAATGTAACCTACTGTGCCTCTGCCTATGTAGGTAATATGGCAAGAAAAATGTCAGCAGTCCAAGAGCTGAGTAGGCATTGAAACATCGTGAAAAAGCTCTGGTGACGAAAATGTAATAAATGTATAACTTCCAGAATATCATTTATTTTCAAAGACGCATGTAGCGGTTATAAACTACCTAAATAATATTTATGCATCCATCGCATCGCGGGAAACATTATACCTACGGCTGCACCCTGCACGCGGGCTCGGCCAGCCGACTACGAAGGAGTGGGGTCAGTGGGGTGGCTTGTTACAGGAACGGCGTAGACCGATTAGTCATTGTTGTGCTTCTCGCGTTAGGTGGTTGGTTGTCGGTTATGTTGATTTTTTTGAGTTTACATTACGTTTTCAACAGAATATAAATATTTTTTGTTCACGAGTTATTTTATTTTTATCTTCTTTCATTTTATTTTTTCGACTTTCTTGTTATTATTTTTTCATACCAACTAACCCTTATCCACCTCCTTTTTCTTTCCCCATTTCCCCTGGCGAGAATGCTCTAACCTCGTGGTTCTTGCTGGACAATTTAATTTTTTGGTTATGTGTACAGGGTGATTCACCATAAATGTCCCCCCCCTCTAGCTCAATTATTTTTAAACCGATTTCAAAATTTGAAATATCATCTTGAATGATTTTTGATTGAGTTTTTTTCCGCTACATCAGAAAATACAGGGTGCTCAGAACAAACGATCTACAGGGTACCATTTGATTTTTTTATATGGAACACCCTATTTTTCATTGTATTTTTAGATTCTTCCTGAAAAGCTGATTTGCTCAATGTATCACACTCGGGGTCTATCGGGAATGATTACAGAGATATAGGGTGTTCAAAATCGAGATTTTTCAACTTTAGGATTTTTTTGAGACGAAACTATTCATCATCGGTCAAAACGGCTTTCATGTCCATATCTCAACTTTTGATTTACTATATCTACTGACATTTAATAATTGGAACAGATACAGGGTGATCAGAATTCTGAATCTTGAACCACCCTGTAAATTTTCCAATCAAATCTCAATAGACAGTTAATCAAAAATTAAGATGGAAACATAGGAGCCGTTTCGACCAATAATGAATAGTTTCGAGACAAAAAAATCCTAAACTTGAAAAATCTCGATTTTGAACACCCTATATCTCTGTTATCATTCCCGCTAGACCCCAAGTGTGATGCATTGATGAAATCAGCTCTTCAGGAAGAATCTAAAAATACAATGAAATACAGGGTGTTCGATTTGGAAAAATCGAGTAGTACCCTGTAGATCATTTGTTCCGTGCACCCTGTATTTCCTGATGCAACGGGAAAAAAATTCTGAGAAATCATTTTAGATCATCCTTCAAATTTTTAAATCGGGTCAAAAATAAGTGAGCTAGAGGGAGAAAGGACAATTATGGTGAATCACCCTGTACATGCTTATTTGCCATCGAACTTCACTCAAGCCGCTGACCCACTTACGTTCGCATTTTAGAGCAATATCTATACCCTGGCCGACCCAGGTTCTGAGGGCACGAGCCGTCACTGTAGGGAACATAAGTGAGAGTGAGTAAGATATATCACAAGTCCTAATTTCCCTTCCCGTCAAGCACAAAGATATCGCCAGCGGGGTGGCTTGGAAAAGAGACCTGCATGTGTTTTTGAGCAGTGGCAGGGTAAGCATTTTGCCGGTTCACTGATCTGTGTATTGAGCCAACCCGAAAATCTCCTCCGAATTGCACGCCTGAAAACGCTTCTGCTCTATGCGCCAAAGCTCAAACTGTTGTTCATGACATCGAGCCATGTTCGGACATCAAAGTAAGAGTGAGTAAAATATATGACCACAATGCGCACGCTCTATTGAATCAAGTTCGATATCGTAAATGAATGATACTTGATCTTATGGTATTCGCGATAGTGAAATGGTAATGTACATTATGCATTCAAACAGGTCAAGTGAATAAATTATGCTACACCTAAACAAATATATACACGGTTTCTCACACAATAATGTTCATCAGGTTGGAAATTCCAGTATGTCAAAGTTTGATATCTCATGGGAGAAACATTAAATAGAAACGATATGTGAACAGCCACTACATGAAGAGGGTTGGTGATGCTGTGTCATCTCTTTGATTACTTTAACAAATATAACTATTATTTCACTAAATATATGTATATTTAATATTTTAAGGATAGTACCCTATTCCAACATAGCTTCAACGATGCATCAAGGCCTGCAAGCAAAGCTAATCCACAGGCAATATCTATCAATAATAATGGAGATATCTTATATGCAAGGAAATCATCGCCATTACAGAATAACAATTTTTCTTGTACCAGTAATGTTAATTCTTCGAATACTTTAGTGAAAGCAACTGCTGGTTTAATAAGGTAAATAAATATATCAGTTGCCCTTATTCAAAAACAAGATTAAAATTTTTTCTGGGTGTCTCAGTATAGCTACCTAATCGCCTAAAAATCGGTGGCTCTCAACCATTTTGAGTAATGTACCACAAAAATCCTTTTTATGATTTTAAGAACCACCTAAACCTAACTGAAATACCTAGATAGGTAATTTCTAAATTCTTCTACAAGATTGCCAGTGTTGCCAATGCTCCTGTATTTTAGTTTTTTTTGATACATTCATTTATTTATTCATCTTGTACAGTTATCTTTTTTGTTTGTTTCATTTTATGTGATGCTGATTCAAGGTCTTTTTTGCGTTTTAAGTCTCGGTTTGTGTACCGTCGCGAATAATATGTACCACAGGTTGAGAACCACTGGTTTAAATAGATTTGATAATTTTTCACATGTGGATTGGTTAACTACAAATGACCAATCATGTCTTTCATTTTACTTGTGGTTGAATATCTTTCTCACTACAAATAACTGGCCACCAAAAATTAATTTAAGACTATCATCTGATATTCCTTTTAGAAAAATTTCTACAAGTCAATCGATCGACCAGTTTCATCAGGCATCTAGCATTCTACAAAATTATTCCATGATCAAGGATATCGCCAATCAAGAATCTCACATTCTTTTATCTCTGGCAAAAAATTACATTCTGCAGGGCAGGAGTATATCGGAATTATGCGAGCACAATTCGGCAGTAGCAAGAGAATTTAAGAAACCGCATGTATGTTGAATGATTCAAAGTTGAAATTCTCTTGTTCTAGTGAAATTGTTTAGATTTCAGTGATTTGGAAAATAATAAAAACGATGTATGGCGAAGAGTTTATGCAATATTCCATCAATTCTGGTAACTCTAATTTGGATGAAGTACCGCACAATAGCAACAATATGAGCAATATCGGTCCCAATATTGTACAAATCGAGAATACCATAAACAATATCAGAGATATGGAGATTGAACAGAAATCAAAAGGTAAATACAAGTCTTTATTGATGAAATAATCAGTATATCATTTTGGTTAGTTCATAATAGAAAAAAAAAACTTTAATGGAGATGTGCTGATTTTTTGAATAAATGATTTTCACACTAATGCTTTCAGAATGTACTTCGTTGGTATGTGTGTAGACCTTGTTACTATATCCATACTATACATCATCTTAGGGGCAGTTAATCATGCAGGATCATCCCTAGCGGAAACTCCGAAACTTGATGATATTTAATTTGTGAATTAATAATTGAAAAAATTCCACGATGTTCTCGTTTGCGTGAGTCTCGTTTCAAATCTCGTACGAGAGTCTCGCAAGTATCGCAGATAAAAGTGGCAAATATCAATCAATTATTCTAATTATCGCGAATAAAAGGGTGTTTCTTTAGTTTTTTAACTACTATTTACTAATATTTATTTTAAAATTGCAAGACGGCATAATAGATAATAATTTTGGTTATCACAATAAGTTATAACAATTTGAAAATAAGGTCATACATTTTGTTACTTCAATGGAATATAAAAACTATTTAACAGCTTCAGCATAGACATTTTTATGAAAGAAGCGACGTAGCATCGCCATTTGTCTGCTTTGTCCCGGCTTTCGGGATTATATTATGGTTTTATTGTTGTTTTGGCTATATTATGTTAGTGGTATGAAATCATATGGGCCTTCTTGTCGCTTCCTGATTCAGTATTAGTTCCTGTGTGTTGAAATCAAAGTCAGGAGTGATTTCACTTTTTTTTTCGTATTGCATGTATCAATGACAATGATAGATTTTCGTTTTTTTCTCTATTTAACTTGTTACATTACTATATTTTTGTTCATTAAAATCAAAATTTGATCTGAATTTTATTTGGATAGGAAACATAAAGAATTCGCGATACATGAGACTCGTACGAGATTTCTCCCTTTTTTTGCGAGACAAGACGAGATTTTTCCAAGTCTCATGGTCTTAATTTCCGGGCCTCATTTATATTATTTTTTTAAAATATTTGATTGAATTTAAGGTGTTCAAATCACAATTATCACAGCCTCAGCCTCAAATAAGAGGCCTTTGTAAACACACTTGCTTTATTTAATCTCTATGTGGATCCTTACGCGCAAATGCTCTTTTAATCCTCTGCCCATGTGTGCCTATGCTTCGACTTTGTCTAATATATTTCACAATCCATTTGATAAATACATGACATATCAATTTTAGCCTAGAGTCGCTGGATGGTATTAGTTAGATAAATGTTCGGACACAGCTGAACTTCTGTCCTTTTCTATTTTCTATATTACAATGGTTTGAGTGAGTAAAAGAATAAGACTTATATTCTGCTCTTTGTCTTTTCAATTTCCCTAGTAGTGCCTGATTGTCAGATAAGATTTTAGAGTTTAGATTTTCTGTGAAATCAATCATTGTCGTAGATGGAAAATAGACATAGGGTATAAACACCCACTTCAATTCATATAGCAATACACTTTTCGCAGAACAATAGTTATGGAAATGAAAACTATTCATGTAACATCATTTCAATAAGACAAAAAAAAAAAAAGACACAGCTAGTTCCTTATTGCATGTAAAACTGTACTCAAGTGATTGAGTTTAAAACATGAAGATTGTCTTGATTTTCCACCTTTTGCTGCATTATATCACGTTGCAATTTACTTGATTTCCTCAGTTTCGTTCTAAAATTTTCTATTTCATTAAGTTTTGCTATCAATTCCTCTAATTTTGTTTTGCATTTCATGTGATGATAATATTGGATTTTTTTTCAATAGCCTGTTAAGGGAACAACGGATCTCATGAATCTTCTTTTTGAAAATGGGCCTAAAATATAGTTTCATTCCAATCTGCTGTTATAAGATGTGAATTTTGATGTATGTACTTATCTTACAAATTGTGCCTGTCCTTAAATTAATTTTCCATCCAGGCTGTTTCATACATTCCTTCCATAAGGGAATGGTTGATATTTCCTTTGGAAAATTAAAGAAATGAAATCGCCACTCCCTTCAGAATCCTCGCAATTCATTACACAGCAGGACATTTTCATTTATTTTTTTTTCTCAATAGGTCATGAAATTATATTTCAATTCTGACGTTCATAAAATTTATCGTCGAATTCAAACAATTTTGAATAAAAAGACGCGGAATGACTATGATGCTGTTGTCACAATGCAAAGTGTGTAATTTGATAAATCTAAACATTCAAAAACACTAACAGTTGTCATTTATGTGTCCGAACTCTTCTCTGACTAATACCATCCAGTGAGAAGTCAAATCAGAGCAAGACCAAGATGTAGGATTATTATAGCAGCAGCTGGCTGAGGAATTTATTAACCCTCTGAACATACAGTGTTAATTACATGTACCCATTACTAAATAAAGCAGAATCCTCATATGCACATTAATTCACAATATTTGGATCTCATTTATTTATAATTCTAACTACATAAGTGCTTTGTTCATAAGAATATATTATGTATTTTTCGTGACAAGAAAGATATTGATAACCATCTAAGTTGACTTGGAGTGTTTTTTACTGTTTTTCAAGGTGGGGGTGATAATCAAACATCTCAATTCAGCGGGGGAGATGACGAGACTGAAAACGAAGACCAAGTGGACCACATCCCCATCTATAACAACAGTTTCCCGACATATCTGAACTTGCGCAGTGGTTTGCCGAAAGGAGATTTCTCGTTCGGAGAGAACGAACTCGATATGGAATTGGAGAGCTTGAGCTCGGATAACATTTGTAGAGGTCAGATTTAATAATTATTTTGGGTGAAACGTTTGAAATTTTTGAGGTAGCATATTTTTTATTGCTTTCAGGAAACTATATTTAAAGATACATACATATACAGGGTGTCCGGAGATAAAAACCGACAAAACCTATAGGGTTATAGGAACTGTCAATATGATTGTAAAATGCCATTTATACAAATGTCCAAAACCACTTCGTTACTGACATACAGAGTGATTTATGGATTTTGACATAAAACTCAACAAAGGAAAAAATAATCCGGTCCTGATATTAGTTTCGTTCAAAGGACTACTTGTTGAAGCCTTTGAGTTCAATTCATGTACCAAATTTGAACCCAATCGGGTAATCCCTGTATTTAATATGACGGATTGAATGCTAAATATCCCATTCCTAGGTTTTCGTCGGGTTGATTGGGAAATATCTCTTTTTTTTTGTATAAACTATACACATTTCACAGAAATCATATAAAATATCTCCATCTGAATTGAAAGAGCTTTCAAATACTGTAGAATTAGTTCCAACCTTGAGAGGGTTATTGCTTCTGATACATTTCAATTTTCTCTAGTTTCTTCGGAAACATGGCTTTCAACTGAAAAACATTTCATTCACCCTGTTTATAAGGTATTGCATTTTTGAAATATATACCGCACTGATCTAGCCCGAATATTTTTCAACATGAATTATTGGAAAATAGCCCATTTCGGGTATCAATAAAATCCGTACATTCAAAAGTATATAGCCGACGAACGAGTCCGGAGACCTATGCTAATATTGATGACAATATCTCGGACTCCTGAAATCGTACATTATATCAAAAATTCAAGAAAATTAACCGATTGTTTTTCGAAATACAGGGTATTCATTGAAATAAACCGCATTTTTTTCAAGAAACTTGTACTGTATCTTTTTACTCACCCAATATATATGAAATGAGTATGCGACGTTCTCAACTTTAAAGAATGTTTGATATATATATGACATGCTCTCCCCTTTCCGATTCAAAAAACTAGGTATTGACGTACCCCTATTTTCGAACCACCCTGTATATAAAAAAATGTCAGTAAACTTCGATCGAGATTGAAGAAGTTCGTCCAGGCTCAATTGGATCTTTAATTCTCATGAAAGAACTTACCCTGGTTGGTTTAAAATTAATTGAATTGGATTTTTCTTTGTTCACCCTGTTGTAGAGCCCAAAACGTAAAATTATAATGGATACGAGATCCAGATGACATTGTACCATCATTCAGGTATGTTATTCCATGAATAAATGGGCGTTTTGTCTATTCTCCTAGTTGTTAAAGATTCTGAGCAGAAAGATTTACTTTTCATCTTTTACACCCCATATCTCGAAAACAAGTCAGCCGATTATTTTGTGCCCATGGACACTTTTGCTTAGGGAGTCGAAATCTACATCATACCAACAATTCAGGGAATTTAACCGAAAGTCATTTTCCATAAGGAAAGTGCAGGGCGAGGTGCGGGTCCTTATATTGGCGTCAATGCCTGAAAAACGTACTCACATTCACAATATTAGTAGGGAGAGGAATGAATGCTTTGAGATTTTGAACGAAAATAAACCTCAGTTTTTTGTATTTCTGTATTTTGTTTAGGTACATGAAAGGATACCGCACACTTTAATAGGGAAAGTGGCCCCCTGTCGAATTGGCTGAATTTTTGATATGTTATAGTCCAAGTCATTCCAAACAAAAAGTTCAATGGGCACAACTTTTTCTATAGGCTAGTTTTGGCACTAGAGGCACTTGAAAACTTTCATTTGTTCTTCATTGTTATACAGCACGGAACGGTATTTTCGGTAATAATCACTATTCTGCATAAACAAGATCAAAACAGTCATTAATATGAGATACCTACTATTAGAAGTATTGTTCATTGCAAGGATCAATTATACAGCGTGTTCCATATATTATATCTATTAATACTTCAAATTAATGATGGAACTCATTGAAAATATAACAAAGTGGTATATCATTTTGATAGGGTTTTGTCGAATGAGTATTAATATGATTATTATATTGATGCTCAAGGAGTATCGCGGAAGAACTCCTCCTAAGTCAACCAAGCCTCTAGTCGCACATTCAGTATAAATGTAATATGGAGAAAATAATGGGCTATAACTCAATTATATGTGGCATTTAACGTACTCATTCAACCTGGTATCGTCGACCCTATATTTATCCTAATATTACCCTAATTATTCATCTAATAACTCACAGGGTGTTCCATCTGAGAATATATCAATAGTAGGTACGGAATTTTTCGAATGTTGGAACTTTCGCTTTCTTTTACAATGAACACTCCTTATATTTTTTGACTATGTGATGTAGAATACGATGTAGGATAGGATTCATAAACATTTTCTCATTGTAGATCCCTAAGACGATTTGTAACCATTTTTGAATTATTGAACTTTGGAAGTTGTAAGTAGCTAGAACACACTGTATAATTGACCAAATGTAACAACACCGAAGAAAAATACTTCCGATAGTATCTGATATTGATGACTGTTTAGAACTTGATTATGCAGAAGAGTGATTATTACCGAAAATACCGTTCCGTGTTGTATAACAATGAAGAACAAATGAAAGTTTTCAAGTGCCTCTAGCGCCAAAACTAGACTATAGAAAAAGTTGTGCCCATTGAACTTTTTGTTTGGAATGACTTGGACTATAACATATCAAAAATTCACCCAATTCGACAGTGGACCACTTTCCCTATTAACGTGTGCGGTATCCTTTGATATTTTTTTAAGTGAATTTAATTCGCAATAGTCCGAATTATTAATTCAAAAAGTCGGACTTTTTTTACTTTTTCATAAAAGTCATGACTCATTCCAACCCCGTCCCGAAATAGAACGTTGCCCTTGCAGACTTCCACATCGGCTACCGCAGCTTCACCCACCACCCGCCCAACGATCCCGCCGACTGGACGCTGCCCAACGAGGCTTTCCCCGTCCGACACGAGATCCTCGACCGCTCCCCGCCGCCCGAGCAGTTCCCGCCCGCCGACCGCCGGTCGCCTGACTCGGGGGATGACGCTGCCGCCTACCAGTACGACGACCGGCCGGCGGCGGCGCTGGTGGCGGTCGCGAGGCCGCCCGAAAAGTCGTCGTGGGATCCGAGCGGTTTGGTAAGTGCTAGGGTCCCTTGATGGAAATTGACATTAAAGTCATCTTAACAGGGTACGGACAGATCCTCGTCTCCTCTCACTCTAAAGTGTTTGTGAAACAATTATATAGTTCCATCCTTATTCAATTCTGGGTATAAACACTAGATTTTTGACATTCGTTGTTTTTTAGGTTATATTGAGGTCACTGGCGTATCATACGTAATTTCCATATGGAATTCCTGATTCAACTTAATCAAGATATAGTTGAAAAGTCCTCTAGTTTTAGAGTTTACTACTCCAGCATAATCTTTGCGAGGTAGGGATCATATAATTTGTACTGAGAGCTTGATACATTTAACCAAAAGAGACTGGTTCTTAGACTGCAGTCAGGGTTGACTGAATTGACTGAATGAATTCTGATTTCAAGCTGAGCAGTAGTTTATCTATGAACTGAATGAGCTGAGCCTTATGATTGAGAAATGGTATGTGGGTATCTGAACTACTGTACTCATGTCATGTGTGCTAAATATATTTTCGGAAATCCAACTCGGAGAAGAATTTATGAAGTGACTAATATAGGCATATAAAAAGTAATACGTAAAATGTGCAGGAAAATAAAGAATAGAATATACTTTACCCCCGTGTTATACAAATGATTTTTCCGTCTTCCTTGAATAAAAAGACATTTTCGAATAATTTATCGATGAAAGTAACAAAGAAGTAGGTATACAGCGAGGTATACAGTATAACTTATATAGGCACATTATTTTCACTCTTATTGCATCCTACATATTTTCAATTTGTGGTAGAGTAATAATTATATAAACTAATTTTGAGAGTGCAGTTTTGAGTAGTGGTTATTTGAATACCACTAGAAGTGAGTTCTGGAGCCCATGCAGTTTTCGTGATATTTTCATAAACAACATTATTATACAGAATTCGTACTTGGCTGATTACAATCAATTTCATCAACTTCAGTGACCCACAATTTGGTTCGAAATTGTTTGCTATTTTGTGCGAGATTGCTGCACATACCCTTCAGCGATATTCATAGAATTAAGTAGAATCAGATAATAATTAGAAATTTCTTCCGCTATATATTGGATTCGTCATCTTGAATTTTCTATGTATGACGAAACAATCATTATCTCTAACCCCGGAAAACCCCAGATACCTTCCAGTTCTGAATAGAATTGGATCATAATTATTACAAAACTCGTTCGCCATATGATTTTCCCCAAGTAAATACCCTGTACATACCTACTATTAAAATTTTGAATGATTTTCTGTAGCGCCCATGGATGTGACGTGACAGCAATGTCAGGGATGCCAGTAGACAAAACTAAAGTCTCTAGATCATTAAAAAAGAATGCAGCTATGATCTGTCCGTACCCTGTTGAGATGACTTTAACGTCAATTTCCATCAAGGGACCCTAGTAAGTGCCAACTAACATATACGGATAACAAGGATCTCCAAGTGAAGCCAAAAAATAAAATGAAATAAATGACAGTCTGTGACCGCAACTGTATTACAGCGCATGCGTCATCTAAAAATAAGAAAAGACATCAGTTTGCAAAATTCCATTCAGCAGGCGATGGCTTTGTAATGAACATAATGAGTATTTTTAAAACTTTCGTCAAATGTACGACATAACCTATAATTCAATGTTTATTGTTTATATTTTGCTAACTGAATCTGAAACCTCAGACAAAAAATCATGACCGAGACTTCACTGGAATTCATATTTGCGAAGTTTTGGTGGTTTTGATGAAGCAAACAGCTTTAATTCGCGGTTTTGGAACGAGTTGGCTCAAGTTTTTTGTCTCAGAATACTTCCGATAATGGCCAACAAGTGCAAGAAATTATTCGCGAGATTCACGAAGTGGGCGACATCTAGGTTACATAATACGAACTTCAAACTGGGGGAAAACAAACTGTTGTCTATGGATAAAGTGCATAGACTAGCATAGACTACATTGCATTCAGCTTGCTGTAGCTGTAGTCAAACTTGTCAATGACATAAAGTGTTTGCACTGTTAGTAGTGATGATGGTTGAGTTGGTTAATTTTTTTACATTATTGCATTTTTATTAGTTAAGTGAACAGTGAACGGGTGAAGAATTGGAGGTAGTTCAAACAATTCAAACTAATTATGACGAGCAAATCAATTGACATATAAAAGAACAGCTACAACATGTTTACAATACCCAGATTGTCCTGCTTTGCATGAACTTCAATCTTACTTCATGAGGGGAAGATTTCTTCGCCGAAGTTTGTAGACAAAGTGCAAAAATGTGCCTTTTGTTGAAGTATTCTGCCTCACACAAAATCACATAATTAGCACGGAGAACTGCTTCTTCTTCCACTACTGGTCGGCTTTTTCCATCTAGATAGAGCAAAATATCTGCCAAAAGAACATCTACAACAACCATTATTAGCGTTTTCGATCGAATATTGACAATTAATGTCAAGTAATTTAAAAACATCACTCTTATCAGTACACAGTACACAAGCTAATGTCACTGAAGGGATTGAGTGAGGATTACGTTTGTTTTCCCCCAGGTTTGACGTGGCTTTGACATGGAACGATGAAATCCGAGCGCCACCTGGTAACATTGATTCCCGCGAATAAACATACAAATGTACAGCTTCCCAACAGATGCAAAATTATACGAAGTGTGGCAGAACATTACAAAAATTGGGAAGCCCATTCACAAATATATATGCCTGTCTGTAGCAGACACTTTTTAGAAACAGATTATGAAGGTAATTTCTTTCATTTTGAGAAAATATCTTTTCAGTGTTCTATGTAATGTGCTTTTCATTCAAGTTATTCAAATACAATTGCAGAAGTAGGTACATTTTCTGTGACGCAGATCAAATACCTTCACAGAATTCATCCAATAAAATCAGTGATCAATGGATATGAATGGGAAAGAGGAAGGTCACTTTGATACAAAACTTGAATATGTCTCTAATCATTCTTCAGCTATATCAACCAAATCATCCTCAGTAAGAGGATCGCATGAATCTGATAACAAAAATGCTGGAAGGATAGAACTTGCTTACCAGAGTGCTGATGCAACTTCCACCAGCACTGATCATTCTTATGAAAGTGCCTATGATGTTTCCATAGAAAAGACAAGTGCAATTTCAGTAGCCAATCTGATGATTTTTTTTTCACTTTTTCTGTAATAATAAAAAATTCAATGAGTACCTACTCAATTTTGCTTTATTTCAACATATAAACTAGAATATGATTAACACTGTGAATAATTCAAAGCTTGTAATTCTATACAAGGAATAAGAATAAAATGATTATGAAATATCTCCAATATTCTCCATCTCAAGACCTTGCTCAAGTATGATTTTGACAGTAATGGAATCTTTCCAAATGTTGTTCTTCCTGCTTCATTGTAGAAATGTATGTAGGGCAGTTAATTTGTTATCTGGAAAACAAATATCAGTTACCTTTTTATGGAAGTTAGAAGTTATATAAGACTACAATTTACCAAGAATTCAGAATTATTCTTTTTCATCAACAGCATGATTGATTTTGCAGGAAATGCAACAGTTTCTTCAATCTTTGTCTTCCTTTGATTTTAAAACCTAGTATAGTGTTGTAGGCTTTACTTCGTACATTGCATCTACGCCTGACTTTTATCACCACTTGCTTGGGTATGAGCTTCAGACCTGAATTCTTCCAGTTCTTTATGCCTACCTGAAAATGTGGTTGAAATTTAAGTAAGAAAAAGGATCAATCAAGCATAATTATTGACTTCATGAGGTTTCAGTATAGACAAACGAAAGTTTCTCTATAGGCTTAGAGTTTCAAAGCAGTAGGAGTTTGTACAACCATCAGCCCAAAGATCTTGAGTTTCTGTATACTTTTCACTTCAACAAAATAACATTATTTCTTGCTTTGTATACCTGTTCGTCTTCCACCATCGGCCGAATTTCACAAGCATTCAAATCGCTGAAATTTCCAAAATAAAAATGATCGAATTATCACAGAATCGAATGTAGAATGTGACTCTCATTGTTTTTCCTGCAGCATTGACATCAAAATCAATGCTTTGACGTACTTTTGCTGCTATCGGAAAAATTTTCGCGGAGGAATATTATTTTCAGAGGCATCGGTAAGAAACTTCAAAAACATAATAATATATAAATAAAATTTAAATAAATTTCTTCCTCCATTTTGACTAGTGATTTTAACAAATCCCGCGCATGCGCAAATAGGTATTTTCACCCACAGACTGTCATTTGTTTCCTCAAAACTGGCTTCACTTTTGACCATGGAAACATATTTTTTAGATTAGATTTAGAATGGGGCCTTCGGACTATCTGCCTCCACACCGCGACCTTTTCAGATCTATTGTGTCTGCCCTCAAAATGGATTGGAGTTCTTCAACTAGCCCCGCCTTCTCTATGAGACTTCATTGGCTAGCTTTCAGATCCCCTGTGTATCTTTGGGCTTCTGTTTTTTCCTCACCCAGCGTAAGGAACCTTAGTCTTGACAAGCCCTCACAGTGGCAAAGTATGTGTACTGCTGTTTCCTCTTCTTCCTGACAGAACCTGCACAGCAGTTTTTCAGTCAGACCTATCGTACTCATGTGTTTGTTGAGCCTACAATGCCCTGTTAGAAGTCCAACAAGTATTCTAGTTGAACTTCGTTTCTGGCTCAGTAGATATTCTGTGAATGTTGGCGATGGTTTATTAATAAACTCTTTTGCCTGTCTCATACCTGGCGAGTTGTTCCACCATTCTTGAGATTTGGTTTGCATCCATGATTTGATACTAGTCTTTTGTATAGCTTTCGCAATACCACAGAAAGGTTCTGGGCCATTCAGAGCTTTGTTTGCTCCTGCTCGGTCAAGTGAGTCTGTCTCTTCATTGCCCTCGTACCCTGTATGTGCTGGTACCCATGCTAGAGTCAGTCTGTTCTGACTGCCCAGTTCATTTAGGGTTTCTATGCAGTCCCATACTAGTTTTGAGTTAACTTGCATAGATTTGACTGCTTTGATTGCCGCCTGGCTAACTGAATAGATTGCGATGATTTTGCTTTTAAACTCTTGCCTTATCAATTTTTTCACGCAATGATGTATTGCAATAACTTCTGCCTGAAACACCGTCGCGTATTTACCTAAGCTCAGTGAGATTCTTGTCTTTGGCTTGGCCCCATAAATACCAGTTCCTGATCCTTCCTCAGTTTTGGAGCCGTCCGTATAGACAGCAATGTCTGCATTGATAGGAGGTCCTTCCTTCCATGCCTCTCTGTCCGTTATACTTATTTTGAAAGTTTTTTCAAAGCAATATTTTGGAATCATGCCATCCGATGGCATTCCCATGATGGGGTCGCTTTCCAACTCTTTATACAGCTTTCTATAGTCTTTACCGTGCGCGTTGCTGATGGGTGTTTGAGCCTTTGACAATCTACTCACGACTGCTCTGGCTTCGCCTTGAATATATATTTGTAGTGGTGGCAGGTTCAAGAGGACCTCTAAAGCGGCTGTTGGAGTGGTTTTCGTTGCACCAGTGGCACTCAGGCAAGCTTGCCTTTGAATAGCACTGAGCCTTCGAATCACTCCAGCCTGTCGTGTCTTCGGCCACCAAACTACTGACCCATATGCTATCATAGGTCTGATGACGCTGGCATAGAGTCATGTGGTCATTTTTGGTTGCAGTCCCCAATTTTTTCCGCACATCCGTCTGCACAGATTGAAGGCTACTGTACTTTTTTGAGCATTTTTTTTAGTTGTTGATTCCATGTTAACTTATGGTCAAAGATGACTCCTAAGTTTTTTGCCTCTAGGGCGAACGGAATTTCTACCCCGTTGAGTACTGGTGACTTACTCTCTTTTTCGTGAAATTCACTATAGAGGTTTTATGAGGGTTCACGGTAAGTTCCTCCTCTTTACACCACTTGTCAATTATGTTTAGAGCGGTGTGTGTGAGCTCCGAGGCCGTACTTGCGAATCTACATTTAGCGATAACCGTCAGGTCGTCGGCGTATCCTAAGCAATAATACCCTTTGGATGTTAGCCTTCTGATCAGTTCATCCATTAGAATGGCCCATAGTAGGGGTGATAATACTCCTCCCTGTGGGCATCCCCTATCTGCCCTAGATGTCAGAGTTGTCTCGCCAATTGTTGATATGATAACCCTATTTTTCAAATTGACATTTATCCACTGGCATCGGTAAGACACTTCAACAACATAATAATATATAAATGAAATTGAAATGAAATTCGTCCTCCATTTTGACTAGTGATTTTGACAAATCCCGCGCATGCGCAAATAGGTATTTTCACCTGCAGACTGTCATTTGTTTCCTCAACACTGACTTCACTTTTGACCATGGGAACATAGGATGTTATCCGTATATGTTTTTTTTTATCGCTTGAAGCGCACGAAAGAACAACACCACACCATCTCGCCTGACACCATGATTTCCGAACTCACCTAGAGTAATAAGTTGGTGGTTCGCAGGTGGCTGAGGCGCTTAGACACCACGCCACCCTCGGCGACATCCAGACGTCGGCGTGCGTGCTGATCGTGATGGGCGAGTGCAGGAAGCACTTGCGGCAGCTGGACGAGGCGGTGCAGGAGCACTGGCTGCTGGGCTACATCGAGGTGCTGAACCGGTACCGCTTGTGGAACATCGCGACGCAGGTATGTGCTCGGTGTTACCGAATCTATAGGTTTTGCCTGCTTAATCTGGTGGTTTTAGAATGCATCTAGAGGTGAACTTTCAATTCAGACAAACGTCTGTGGATTTTGATAAGAGCACAGAGCAAAAAATAATTATCTATACTAATATTATACAGGGTGGCCCACGAGGTTTTGGCCAGTCGATATCTCGAAAACTATTTGAACTACAATTTTGAATTTTTGTGGTTTTGAACAATGGAATGCAGTGACCATATTTGGTATAAGAGGGTTTCATTGCAACATCGCATTTTCAATCACGTGATATCAACTTCAAAATTCTAAATGGAACACCCTGTATATTATTGCATGTTTGTTTATTTTTTTTTTTATTTATAGATACAACTTACAAAAACACTAACAGTAAACCTTAAATAACTAAAACCTGTCCATACAAATCTACCTAAAACACTTTTTAATATCCAGAACTGTACAGTTCAACAAATCTAAGTTAAAGTCCCTTGATAGAATATTGCACTGATTTTGCATATAATTCATTGGAGAACTATTAAAAGGACTACAAGAAAAGAGATCACAATTGTTTATTCTAAGGTTAATCTTTGGTACATGAAACTCTAAGAAGTTTATTAAGTAGCATGTTTTATATTTATAATTATTCACAACACTATGCAAGAACAAGACACAATGCATATTTCGTCTTTGATGTAATGTTTGGAAGTTGAACATTTCAATCAGATTTTTAGTTGGCATAAGATAAGGAAACACTTTATATCTCTTGAAATATAAATACCTCAAGAATCGTTTTTGTACCCTTTCAATCAAAGTGATGTTACTTTCAGCTTCAGGGGCCCATATTACTGATGCATATTCAAGATTTGGTCTGACCAAGGCATTGTACAGACGAATTGTTGTGTTTATGCTGAAATGCTTTGAGTTTCTAATCACAAATCCCAGTATTTTGTAGGCCTTTTTAACAATAACGGTATAATGGTCATTAAATTTCATGCTGGCCTGAAGGTTTATTCCCAAGTCTCTACACTTTGTTTTTCTAATTATGTCATCATTACCTATCATATATCTGTATTGGATGAAGTTAATCTTGCGGGTGAATGATATAACTCCATTTTTGTGAAGACCTTTCTAATACAAATACTACGATACCATCAATGTCAGGGTTTTCATGTGAAACGGTGACAATATGAGCTGTCAAATAAATGGAAAATGGAAAATGCATTAAGGAACAACAGTATAATTAGGAAACGAAACAAAATAAGTAGAAAAAGCATTTCAGTTGATGCTCAAATTGATGTCCATCTTCAGTAATGCAATGCTCAAATCTTGTTAAAAGATTTCTAGTGCATGCTGCTCTAATCATTTCAGGTGTAACAGTTTGGCATGCTGCTCTGATTTTGTTTTGCAAATCATCTAAATTTGTAGGCTGTGTAGAATAAACCAAACCTTTCAAATATCCCCAGAGGAAAAAGTCTAAAGATGTCATCTCTGGGGAACGAGCCGGCCAATTTATTGTACCATTTCGCCCAATCCATTTTTCACGGAAAGTATTATTAAAATATGTCGTAACTTGCCGGGCATAGTGAGGAGGTGCACCATCCTGTTGCCTCTTTCGTTCAAGGGAATATCTTCAAGTAAAGCGGGAAGCATATTCTGGAGAATATCCAAATACCTTTCGCCGGTCAAAGTTCCTTGATACAAATACGGCCCAATCAAGCGGCCGTTGAATAAACCGCACCAGACATTTACACCCCATATTGTCTGGAAATTAGTTTCTCGCATCCATTTCGGATTTTCAGCCGACCAGTATAGTGATAATTGTTTCGATTGACAGTACCGTTGTTGTGAAATCGACTTTCATCAGTCCACAATATTTTATTTAAAAATTATGGGTCATATGCGAGTTTCACTGTCATTTCAGCTAAAAAAATTAGTCTTCTCTCAGGGTCTGCAGGGTTCAAACCTTGTGTTGAATGTATTTTGTTAGGATGATAATTATGATTCTTTAATACTCTCTGGATTGTAGTTCTATACTTACTCCACATTCTTGCTCAAGACATCTAGTTGAGATATGTGGGTGTACTTGAACATGAGCCAGAATATTAATTACGTTATCCTCTGTTTGAATAGGCTTTCTGCGTGGAATTTGCTGTTTTCCACTAGGAAAAGAACCATTTCTTAATTTCTGTTCCACATAAGCGAAAGTATTTTTACTTGGAGTTGTTCGGTCGGGAAAACGTTCTCTGTACAAGTCTTGAGCACGCCTACTATTTTTTCGACACTCGCCGTATATGAGCAGCATATTGAAATACTCGTCGTAAGTAAAATGTAAAGGCATACTAGTCTTGATACTACTTGTACACAAAGCCAATCTACTGATACTGATTGACAGCCCTTGACAAGTACGATGTATTTCTGTTGCTAGAATACTTTTTCTCTTCCTAAGCTATCACGTTTTTTGAATAAAAATACAGAAATGTTCATAAAAACCTCTTTATCTTAACTGTAGTGCCGAAAAACCGCTGACAATTATGGTATCGTAGAATTTGTATTAGAAAGGACTTCACGAAAATGCAATAATATACACGGTGTTCCATTTGAAATTTTGAAGTTGATGTCACGTGATCGGAAATGCGATGTTGCAATAAAACCCTTTTATATCAAAAATAAACACCACATTCCACTGTTTAAAACCACCAAATTTCAGAATTATAGTTCAAATAGTTTTCGAGATATCGACTGGCCAAAACCTCGTGGGCCACCCTGTATAAAGAGGAAAGATTTGATTGTTTGTTTGTTGTTGTTATTCTTTATTCTCCCATGAATTATCTTTGTGTATAAGATGTTTTCTTAAAGACGAAACGTCGGAAAAAAAATCTGCTCACGTTATCATGTAGTCCTTAAAAAGTGGCCATGACAAAGTGCTATTTGTTTTACATTTCCTTCGAAAATAAAACTAGGAGAAAATGAAAACGAAATTCTAAAATTACGGTTTTTCTCGGATATCTCCGAAATTGCTCGGAATATTGAAACTTTGTGAATGGCATATCATTAGGCACATAAATGCGCTACTTTTCTATAATTTAAACGAATTCGTATCTCCTACCGTTTCCGAGATCCCCATGCTGTTCATTCTTATCTTGGACACAGTGTATATATATACAGGGTGTTTCATGATTGAATGTCAATATTCGAGGAGGCGATTCTTGGGCCCATTCTAAGAAGAAAGTTTTTTATGAACGTATGACCTAAACGTCCTAACTTTTGGGATACAGGGTGGTAAAGTTAGCTGAGCTAGGTTAGTGGCAGAGCGTCATGCAGGTACTTAGTATTTCAATGGAGTGACGCTGCTGTTCAATCCTCATGCTGTGCCGTAGGTTTGTTTTTCCCGTGATGCCTAGCGTCACCGTATGGTAACGATCGGGAATTTGAGTTTTTTTTGTCACTAATCACTTGATTCATTTGCTGCTGAGGTTTGCTTAGGTTGTAGCATAACACTATGGCCAACATTTACTTCACGAAGCCACCGTATAATTATCATTTTTGTGTCCAGCGTGTTATATTCTACTAATTCCCTATTTCATCGTTTATTACCGATCTAAGCTCATTATTGCTGAAGATCGTCGCACCTGTCGAGTCAATCAGCTGTTAGGGCATCTCAGTCATCCATATCTTTTCCTTCTTTGTTGATATTATTAGGTTATCTATGGCAAAAGTTCATCGAATCATTCATCAAGAAGTTAAGTTGATAATAATATAGTGAAATATAAACAATGCTAGATTAGTGATCTTGGAACATTTATATTTCTGCCATGATATTACATACCTAATGATATTGATAATTACACACGGGCACATTCAATCATGGTTCAATACGTCCAGAGTATGACTGTATGATGATGATCACATATATTTTGCATTACCGATCTCTGATGATTACATATATTTTGCATTACCGATCTCTACCCTTTGCGACAAAACAGAAAGTTGTTCACCTGGTCGCTCATAGATACCGCCACCTGAATAGAATTTCTGGCTTCATTGCTCTCATAAGGATGTTTCATCTTGTTAGTCTAAATAATAAAGGGTTACTGCAGAAGTATCGAGGCATCTTTGAGGAAAATATGTTTGTTTTCCAGGTGATAAAACTGTCATGGCTGCCCTCCGTCTACCAGCTGAACCAACAGAGCACGAGGATCAACACAAACTGCAGCAGATGCGCCAAGCCCCTGCAAAGGGTGGGATGGCTGTGCGACAGGTGCCACACTTCGGAATACGCCTTGTGTTGCATTTGCAACCAGGTGGTAAAAGGACTGTACGCTTGGTGCCAAGGGTGTTCGCACGGGGGCCATTTGGCCCACATCAGACAATGGACGTCCATGCATAAAGTGTGTCCAACGGGATGCGGACATTTGTGCGAGTATAGGTGATGAGAGTGGAGTGATGATTTGGGAATTTCGAGTTCTTGTGAGCCTTTTGGAATTGAAATTAGGAAAGGGCGTAGGAAGGAAATCTTGGGAAAAGATAGTGGGTGAGCGAGTTGAATGAAAAAAATTGCTAAGAATGCTAAAATATATTGTTGACTAATATTAGAACTAGACATCCAGCTGAGATTCATCTTTGTATAAGTGGAATAAATATTTTTTGTTACTACATCATCATATTATTCTGTATTTTGTATACGAATTGAGATCTATGGAGTGTTCTCCACATGCCTTTCCACCACTGTTGTCATGCTCCCAAAGCTTCCACGGATTCGTTGTTTGCCAGTTTAGCGCCTCACGTTGGGCGCCAAAAAGAAATTTGCATCAGACGTTCTCCTTCGCACGAAAAATATATGAAAATCGTTCAACATGATGAAAATAAATTCAGTCGACAAAACTCCTGGAATAATTACTGTGTCAAAGCAGGACGGAGCTAATACCAAAATTTGTGTGGTTGAATTGCATTTCAGAAGATGACGTGAAGAAAATTGATAATGGGAAGTGGCGTAGGAAGGAAGTCGTGGAAAAAGATAGTGGGTCAGCAAGTTGAATGAAAAAAAACTTGCCAAGAACGTTAAAATATATTGTTGATTAATGTTAGAACTAGTCTGAGAAGCAGCTTTGTATAAGTGGAATAAATATTTTTGATACTACATCATTATATCAGTATTTTATATACGAAATGCGATCTATGAAGTGTTCCTCTAAAGCCTTTTCACCAATTCTGTCATGCTTCCCATGAAATCTATTTTTGACAGCTTATCAAAAAACATCTACGATTCGGACTCTTTCACATCTCACTTATTGGGCGCCAAAAAGTCTTTTGCATCGGATGTTTCCCTTCCCAGGAACATCTTGGAATGTGTGAAACACGGTCGTCGTTTTCAGATAATAAAGAAAAAAATGAAAGAGAGAAGCCAAGAAAGAGAGAGGTAAAACAAGATGAAGATTGATTCATTGTATTGGGTACCAAAAAGTTCTTTGTTGCTGTTTTCGAATGCTTCAACCAGGCGGCGAAGGAACTGAACGTCCAAGAATTGAGTGTGTTGGTAAGTTTATTGGAATTGGGGAAGGGCTTAGGAAGAAAATCGTGGGGAAAGATAGTTGGAATAGATAATCAGCGAGTTAAATGAAATAACTTTGCTGAGATTGTTATATAAATATATGGGTGACTAATATTAGAAGTAGCCTTTTTACTTATCTCTCATGAGGATCAATGATTTTTTATTATTCATTTATATTGTTCAGTGCATTTCAAAACTGATAACATGATGGATAAGAAATGTCGTATTTCACAAAGTCGTTTTTTGACGTTTATCAAGCACCAACTGCGATTAAGTTTCAATCCCTTCAACCATCTTGCGTTCGGCTCCAAAGTCTTGCATTTGAAAATTTCTATGGAATGAAACGTTCAAAATGTGTGAAAAAGATCAACGTTTTCAGACGAAAAAGAAATCGACTCGACAAAGTCCACGTACGACGTTAGTCGGGTTAACGTAATTTATCCTAAGAAAATCATAGTGAATCATTATGAATTTTTCAATCATATTTTCCATGTTGCTTTCCTCCTATGGTATGTAAAATCAGTTTGTATATTATTATTGTCTACTTTCATCCCAATACAATTTTCTTTTTGAAAATCAAGGCGAATTATTCTTCTCCTTCTTTCATCTCAACATATTTTTTCCTAAGGAAATCTAGGTAAAGAATTGATTGGTTTTTTTGGATTTTTGGTTTTTTTGGATTTTTGGATTTTTTCAAATCAAATTCTCCTTAGAACATCAAGAGATTTAGGGAGATAGTGGAATAAGAAAGAAATGTAGAAGGAATGGGAAAGAGAAAGATAAAGATGGAGAGGTGTGCATGCAATTCTTCAAAAAACGCTTCCATGTCAAAATTTTGTTATAATGGGTATTGGTTGTATAATACACCTTGAATTTCTCTAAACGGTAACCAGATTGATTTCAAATTCGGGCACTAATTTCCTAGCAAAATACAGTCCAAATAACATTTTGAACAAAATCGTTTGTCATTAATTTATTGTGTTTGATACACTTGAGCATAAACAGCAATTATTTGAAACTAGAGTGAGAAACGTCAATGTCTATAAATCTCTTTATTTTTTCTTGTCATCAAAATACAATCGATTCAAAATCAAGTGGACATGTGATGAAAATAAGGAACTCGAAAATATTAAAATAACGAAAATGAATCACTAATCAATGTATAGTTTTCTCATTTTTTCCTAGAAGAAAATCTTGGGATCAACAGTTGATAGATTGATCCAATAAACTAACAAATAAAATACACTTATTCAAATAAAATTAAAATGTGAGTAACCTGTTTCAATTATTTCCTCTGATATCAAACTGTCTCCTATTCTAAACTAAAATACTGTAAATATTTACATGTGAAATATAATATCGTACAATTTATAAAATGTATGGCAACTTTTTCAACACAGCACTTTTTTCTCTCACTCAAACACATTCGTGACGAATGCCATCAGCACAATCCCGAAAATTAAAGCTAAAAGTTGTTTGATGGATTCCTTTGGGTTATCTTCCTTCAACAAATCGGGAAGAACAGTGACCAGAGCTATGTGAAGGAATGTCCCAGTAGTGAATGGTAATATCCAAGAGCTTCTTGCCTCTGAAAAAACAAAATTTCACGTCAAAAATGATGACGATTTTCACTCGAATAGTAACAGTAAAGGATAATTTAATTGTACACCGTGTCCCAGCTAAAATGTCCCCCCCCCTGTAAAAAATAAACCGCGCGATCGAATGACTTGAAATTTGGTCACCCAGTATATTTGATGATGCTCTCTTGAAATATGCTATTGAGTAAATCGTAGGTATACAGGGTCACACCAAAGTTCATCTAAACTTTCCTATTTGAATAGGGATACCCAGTTTATTATTCCATATTCTAGTAGAGTTCATTATAACAAATTCAACAATGCCGGGTTTGATGGGATTTCTTCAAACGACTACGAAGATATGGCAAGAAATAAATCGATTCAATAAAAATTTTTTTCTGTGAGGGGAAAAAAGTTTGACATTCCATCTCTGTTGACAGGTTATAAAATGTCACTTTTCAAAAATTACTTTTTTCCCGTGGGAAAAAAGTGAGTACTTTTTTCTCGGATACTCATAAGTATGGTAGATATTTAATTCAGAATATTTTATTAAACAAAAGTTACATTTCCTTTATATCAAAAGTACAATTATTATTGAATGTGCATTGCATGAATGACACGTTCCTTGAAGTATTCGGAACAACAGTAGAATTTTCTCGTGTTGAAATTATATTTCTTTCTGCCATGGACCCAACTGCCGTTGATATACCTGGTTGCAAATGGGGTGTTATTTCGGCAATGCCACAAGTTCTGAATACTTTATTAGCTATTTCTGTTCTGTGTGATACCGATTCATCAACATATCCTTCAGCGACCGTTGATGACTTCCAACCGCCATGTTTCTTCAGTGTCAGCAAATCTTCCCCAGATTCAACTAAAAGTGTAGCAGACGATCTTCGAAATGAATGGCCTGTATATGAGCTGGCATTTTCAAGTTTTACAAAACTAGCTACTGTTTCAGGTACCTTATAAAACTGATTTTTACCCACAACCTGATTGATACATTTTCCATTGCGATATGCATTAAACAGGCGGGGATCCTTTGCTGTTGCTGGACGCAGGGCTATATATGTATGTTCACAATGATTATCGTTCCTGAATCTTCAATATCATCTAATGTTACCTGGCTGATTTCACAAATTCGACAAGCTCCTGCAATCCAGAATACAACAACAACTTTGGCCATTAAATAAACTTCATCAGGAGCATTTGACCACACTGTTGATGGCTTTTGTTGCTGAGCCAGTTCAGAAAAATAGGCCAATACCACCGTTTCCGAGAAAGAACTGCTTGACTTTTTCATCCTCCATTCCATGAATCTTGAATACGCGGTTTCGTAAATTTTCCGCGATTTAGCTGGCAATAATTTTTGTGACGCTTCTTTTGCTGCTTCAACTAACTCTGGTGGAGTAAGAGGAAACTCGAATTCAGACATTTAATATTATTCAATACAGAATTAAATTGACAGAATATGACAATAGAATGACATAGCAACAATGATGCCTACAATGGAGGTGTAAGAAGTACAAATTTCACATTGACAATTATGTAATATCTTTCCAATATTAGAGCGTCTTTCTTCCTGTCACAGAAAAAAATTGTGTATTACACACGGGAAAAATTTTAGCACACGGTTTGTTGTCTCCCTCCGCTACGCATCGGGAGACAACACAACCTGGTGCTAAAAATCTATTACTTTTTTCCCTTGTATAATAAATAACTATATATATGATTAGATTTCATTGATGTAACACGATTGAAATCGAATGAAAAGAAAATAATTAAGACCTCAACTGCTCATTATGTCGTCCATTCTACTGAAAACATTTCCTAGCTCTTTTGATAACGTGCATTGTGACCCTATGTATCACGTTGCGATCAATTTGTGCGCATAAATTTGTGATTTTCTCTTTCATTTCTTCCATATTCACAATTGGCGTCTCATAAACCTTGTTTCAAGTAGCCCCACAAATAAAAATCAAGTGAGGTGAGGCCTGGCGACCGAGCTGGCCAGTTGCTATCACCATCGAGACAATTGGTGGTTATTAGATTTTCTCCAATCAGATGGCGAAGATAATCCATTACGCGTCTGTAGTTATGTGCACTGGTAATAAATTCGCGGTCGCTTGTGCCGCTTGCTCTAGGATTGGGAATAAGGTATACGCATGATTTTTTGTTTAATCGAAATTATATTTCTTCTTCCTTATAATAACATTGGATATCATTCATTAATCTCAAATTTGCTTGTCCCTCTAAAAAATTTCATTTAAATGAGGCTAAATATGAAGTCACAGGAAAACGGGTTAGTGGCCATCACTAATATTATGACGTCATAGTATTAGGCCGCACAGCCATAGACTAGCGCGACAGAATGACAAGATTCAGATTGAAAAAAAAAAGAAGAAGAAGAGGTAGGAGAAGCAGTTTTAAACGCCAGAAATTTGAAATTTGAAAATGGAAAATGATAATGTTTATACCAAATACTGTTTAGTGCCGCAATGCCTTTCATCAACAAAAGTATCACCAGGAAAAATATTCCTTCCATTGCCAATGGGATCGAGTGATGAAAATAAAGAGAAAAGAAGATTATGGTTGCAAGCCATAAATAGAAATGATTTATCAGAGAAAACCAGAGGATTTGTTTGTGAAGACCATTTCGAAGTGAGTATATGTTCAAGTATGTCCTAGTGATTATGTATCAATGATTATGTACCTCATGTTATTAGGAGATAATGATTTCGTTTTCAGCTTGGAGAAGATATGGAAAACTATATGAGATATAAATTGATAGGTGGTAATATATATATTTGAAACAACATGCAAAAAGAAGTCCTGTTTGATCATTCTTATTGTAGATATTTGCTTATTATTCAGTTATTATTATTCAGAATATTGAGATCATATAATTGAGATAGATTATAGTTATAGAAACTACAAGCTCAGATAATCATAACCTCATTTTCTCTTCTTATATTATTTTCAATCTTTCGGACATGAATGCATGTTTGACATGACAAATAAAAACAGCCACAACCAGTCGGAAATCATCGCTGCAGTTCGGCTGTTGGTCGGAAAGTTGCAAATATTATGATTTTCAATCAGAAATTATTAAATATTCGGTGCTTAATAATGTTTTTCGGATGTATAATTCGACATCTATACATATGAGTAATGGAACAAAAATATATTCCAGTGTGACATTTTCACACGCGTATACCCTATTGCGGGATTTTCTTCAGAGTTCATTTTGTCGGCATAAATTTGATTGACAGAGAATAAACAATGCTGACAATAGAGTGTTAGGCATGTATGATTCGTTTCCATGGTTATTCTCAAAGGTTTTCCGTACTCTGTTTCCGTTCGATAGCCGGAAAAAGCCTATATTACAATATTAATAATATAGATGAAAACCTCGATGAAAACGAGTAGATTTCAAAGAAGTGTCATGAAGAAGTTATTTCTGGCCCACGACAAAATATAAACGGCGACATCGAGAGTTCAGGGAAAGAAACTCTAAAACTAAAATTTCCATTCAGTTGAGAAATTGGAGTAGCTGATTGTCCGACTAGCGTTATTTGAATTACAAAATAACTAAAATACTCAAATTGGACTGAATTTTTGGGTCATTTCAAAGTCACTTCCACAAATGGTTTAATAAAATGAACAACAATAACGAGAGAAAAACGACTAACTTTCCTTGCTGATGCCAAGCAATTTCTCATTGGCATTTAATTGTCATTAAAGTCATAGATAATTCTTGGCTCTCGTAAAATGTTACAATTGTACTTTTTTATTCCTGTTTGTCACTCCAGAAATCCTGTGGATACCTGCCGAGTAAGCGAAGTAAGTAATATATAACCTTAGTATTACATATTTCATTAAATATGTGACACTTACTGTATATACCCTGTATATTTTAGAAAAGCTCCGAAAGTCTGCCGACCCGCTATAGAATAATGTATTGTCGCCATTTAAAGTAAAACACTACATATTTCATGTTATTTGCCGGTGATTTTTGTTTTTGAAAAATGTTCCCTTCGAATTGGATACACTCAACATTTCATTCAACGCACTGGCAATAATCGGGCAACAAAGACATTTTGGAAACTGGCCACATTGTCAACAAAAGTGTTCAATTCTTGTCTGTGAAAAACGGAAACAAGTGACAATTCCACGACGTACATTAAACTGTTATCTCCTGCGATATAAGAACCAATCGGGAATGGTGTGCCTCCATAGGAGTTCATTGCTCGATAGTATGCTGCTTCTTCCTTTCAAGCCGGTAACACCACGTCATCACGGCAACCACACATCTAAATATAACATCTTTCTCGCAGTGTTTCCAATGAATTACAGGCTAAATACTGACACGCAGGCTACAAAATCCACGGCAAATTACTGCAAGAATCCGTACAAAATTTGCGCATTATTTGAAGAATAAATCGAATTGGAAAACAATGGAGGGAGTTATGGTATCCTTGAGTTATTAGCTTTTTGCTGTTTGATGATATTTGTACCTATAATGCTATGATTTCTGTCAAAAAAATCGACTTGCGATAACCTCAAAATAAACTATGCGTTATGCTAAAAATTGTGATTTTTACTGGAAGGCGATGCCAATACGTGCAAATGCAGTAATTACGCGCACATTGGCATCACTTCTTTCTCGTCAGCTGGTATAATATGGAGGTGACAGTTTCATATAGGTCGTCTCAATAAATACAATTCGTCCTCACAATACTATCGAAAATTTGATCAGAAATCTTGAACTAGATGCTTCCAGATAACACGACTCGTCCTGCGGACTGGTGATGCAATTATGCAATTGGATCTCGTTGATTTCTGACAGGATTACTATAGATAGTTTTAGTTTACCCCTGACAATTCAGATTTTCTCTTTAGGTGATCCTAAAAACACTAAATTGAAAACAAACAAACAATAACGTTCGTCCTCACAAATTAGTAGAACTAAGTTATGTTTTGGATTACCCACCAAGGAAGGTAATATAGCGTATGTCACTGTGACACCCCCCTTCCCCCCCAACCTCTATATCAGCTATTAGTCGTGCGATTCGTACCAAATTTGGTCCGGCATGAATAACCATTAATATAATCAGTATTTTAGAGACGAACATCCTTTTGGACAGTGCTGTGCTTTTCTATTAAAATAAAAAGGGATCGACTTTTATGAAATCATATTGGGAATTTTTTTGTAAGAACACTAACTTCATATTATTATTCCTCATGCTTTCGAACCTCCATATGCGAAAAATCAACTCATTCGAAATAAACAGGATTGGCTTTTAGTTTCAGTCCCGAAAAAATAGCGAATTCAAATTAAATGCGAATTTTGGCACTTTCAATGGCTCCATGTGGAACTCATCGTTTGCAAGGAAATGCTTATTAGGTTCACAAATATGCTGTTCAGAAGTGCCTGTTTTTTTGAAACCCTTCCTAGGGATCATATGAAAATTTACATATGGGGTTTGAAACCACGAAGAACAATATTATGAGGTCATTTTTTATGGCAAAAAATTCCTAATATTTTATAAAAAAATTAACCCTTCTCATTTCCATAAAAACGCACGGCACTGTCTGAAATGATGCCCGTCTCTGAAAAACTGATCATATTGATGGTTTATTTGAAATGAGACACGCTATACATATGTAAATGAAGATTGAAAAATGAATCTATTTCTTAATATTCATTAAACAATAATTATGATGTGGTCATTCCATCTACAAATCATCGAACGCTGTTGTTATTTTAGTTAACTCTATTTGTTTTCAATGTAATCATTATTTGCATCTCATATACCCATATAGGATTATCTATAATCAAGAATCCATTGAAATTATTTGTACATCACTGCAATGATTTATTTTTTATTGGTTTACTGATACTTTTTCAAGTAGGTTTGCAATATAATCATCAATCATTCACTAAACAAAGGATTAGGAAACTGGAATATGATGATAACAAATATTAAACTAGAGAGTAAGGATAGTAGAGAGAAAACAAATTTTCGTAATTGTTAAAATCTATCAAAATATGTCATTACTACCCCGAAGATATAAATATTAACAATGAAGCATCTGAAAATTCAATAAACCACCAACTAAGAAGCATTATAATGTTTGTGATTCTGCTTGGCATTGGAATGTTATGCTCATATAACCACTGAACTATAACCCTGTTATAGTTCAGTGCATATAACCCAGAAATACTTCCTATGTTTCAATGTGCAGTTCAAATATGTTGGCGATTATGATGGTGTTCACACAGTACACTCAAAGGTTATCAGCAAACTGATAACTTCATAAGATAGCAATCTTATATGAAATATATTCAAGTCTCAATATTGTTGTTATATACCACAGAAAACAACTACTGGCAAATACAACGCAGACTATAGGATCATCTTCAAGAATCTAAGATAAAAATAATAAATACACTCATCTGCTTTGATATACCTACCTCAGATGACACTATCGCAGTTGAAAATTCGATTAGAACATTGGAATTGATATAATGAAATGACAATTAAATTCTAAATCACTGATATCTAATTCCATCCATTCCTCTTCTCTAGGGAATTTTTCCATTTGCAATAGAAATATCGGGTATATTGAATTTTTATTTGTGTTATCGTCTCAAGATCCTAAGTAAGAATGACCATCACTCATCTGCTTACCGGATGAAAATGATATTTTATCAAATAAAATATGATTCTGAAGTTGTACCAATAGGGTTGCCATAAAAATATGTTCATGGCTATGATAGATAAACATTAAAATTAATTTATTTTTAAAATTTCACTGACTTGCTTCCCAAATGGACGAAATTCCAATGGAAAATTAATAATTGCACTCATATGCTTACCACTTATGAAATATATCAAAATGGAGGCAATTTCATAACGAACACAGTTGTATAGGGTTTGGTTTGCAAAATCTGTTCATGAATAACACTTGCCAGGCTTTTAAATTGAAAAATCAGATAAAGTAACGATGTATGACAGAGAAGCATTGCGCTTACTATTTGATGCGATAGAGTAGGACGCAGTACACTAGCTGTGCACGACGGAGCCGAAGAATGTAAGAGAGTGCACTTGCTTTCTACTCATAGTATAGAAAAATAAAAAGCTAAATGCTATTGGGAAACGTTCGGGAGCAAACAGTCCGTTTGTAAACACTTATTTTGTGGAAATTTGAAAAATGGCGAAGTGGTTTTTATGTAAATCAAGTGATTCTGTGATTGATTTTAAAGGGGAAAGTTTTTGAAAACTATTATTTAAAATCAAAACTTATACCAAACTTTGAATAAATGAGGTACTTAAAAGTTATTTTTCTTGAAAACATCAAACATAATTGTCTAAATTATTTTCAAACATTTGGATCGCACGAAAGGGAATCTCTATTATGTTCGAGCAACATCGTGCGTGATTGTATTGAAATATGCGCATTAGTATATTTATGTAATTACATATGAGTGATCAGATCATTCAATTACAATACTTGATCTACCGACACAGAAGCTTAATCAATTAGAAATACTGTCTATAACTTAACTATCAAAGGTAGTTAAGGTCGTAACATCATCCTGACTGCTTGCTGCATCTTCTGTGAGGTTGTTCTTAATTTTTTGTGAATTCCCTTTTCGTTTTTCAGCATAGACTTACTTAATATGATTAAAAAATTCCAACTGATTGAACTGATTCCTATCTATATCATCATTCATTTCTGAATATTTGATTAAGCTCTGCCAGTATTACGGTTCTGATTCGTATTTATATCATCATTCATTTTGATATATTTGAATAGGAAGAGAAGGCATCTCTACATCTTTTATTGCTCTGCCAGTATTACAGTAGTCACCTAGATGTGGGCGGGGCTATAAGAGGCGTGTTCTTAGAGAATAGGCGGGGCAATGTCAGGCCTTGGATAGAGTAAATTGAATGGGAAGGTGAACAGTAGTCGAGCAAGAAATAGGCTAGGCTATAAAAGGCGGGTACGTGGGCCTGGGTGTGGTACTTAGCCTTAGAATGAATCAGTTTATTGATCACAAACACAAATAAATAAATTCAATCAAGACAGACCAAAACCAAATGTATATTTATGCAGTGAACTGAAAGAAAGGATGCTCGGTCCAGATGGGTAGAAGCATCGACCAAAGTTCTAGACGTTTGAACTTGAAATGGATAAGGATATTGAACTTGAGGGACTGTGTTAGCGATGAAGATTATCGTGAAACTCACCTGAGGATATCTTCGCGCCGCTAGAAACGATAACGAACATGGCGCCGATTAGTCCTCCGCCGGCGGTCAGGATTTGAAAGACGGCCGCGTGCCACCCCTCGTGGGGAATCTTGTGGACGAGAATGACGAAAATGGCAAGCAAAGGAAACACAAAAACCTCAAGTTTCGTACCAAATCAAAATTAGATAATGCATCTCTATACCTTGGGTGGGACTATAAGGGGCGTGTCCTTATAGAATGAGCAGAACCTGGTCTTGAATTAAATAAATTTGACGGGGAAGTGGAGGACAGTAGTCGAGCGAGACATGAGCAGGGCTATAAAAGGCGGGTACGTGGAAAAGAGGCGGGTACATTGGAAAAGGTGGAGCGAAGCCCGTGGGTGGTGCTTAGCCCTAGAAGGAGTGAACCGAAAGGAAGGGAGCTTGGTCTGATTGGCCAGAAGATCGACGAAAGACCTAGACGTTCGAATAAGTAATATACGAGGAAATTGATGTTATGTTAGCGATGATGGTAATTGTGAAACTCACCTAAGGAAGTCTTCGCCCTGCTAGACACGATGGCGAACCTGGCACCAATTAGTACTCCGCCGGCGGTCAGCATTTGAAAGACGGCCGCGTGTCACCTAGTGAAGCCCGATTTGAGCAGGATGGCGAAGTCGAGCACTTCGTGGGGAATCTCGTGGACGAGAATCACGAAAATGGCCGGCAAAAAAAAACCCGAAAACCTCAAGTTCCGCATCAAACCAAAATTAAATGCATCTCTATACCTTTTATTGCTCTGCGGGTATTACAGTTATTCAACTCGATGTGGGCGGGACTATAAGGGGCTTGTCCTTATAGAATAAGCAGGGCGTGGCTTTGAATGAAATAAATTTGACGGGGAAGTGGAGGACGGTAGTCGAGCGAGACATGAGCAGGGTTATAAGTACGTCAAAAAGAGGCGGGAACATTGGAAAAAGGTGCAGCGGAGCCCGGGAGTGGTGCTGAGCCATGGCAGGAGTGAACCGAAAGAAAGGTTGCTTGGTCCTGATAGGCCAGAACATCGACGAAAGGCCCAGACGTTCGGATAAGTAATATAATGAGGAAATTGATGTTATGTTAGCGATGAAGGTTATTGTGAAACTCACCAAAGTAAGTCTTCGCCCCGCTAGACACGATGGTGAACATGGCGCCGATTAGTCCTCCGCCGGCGGTCAGAATTTGAAAGACGGCCGCGTGCAAACTCGTGAAGCATGATTTGAGCAGGATGGCGAAGTCGCCCACCTCGTGGGGAATGTCGTGGACGAGAATGACGAAAATGCCGGCAATGGAAACACGAAATCCTCAAGTTTCGCATCAAACCAAAATTAGATAATGCATCTCTATACCTTTCATTGCTCTGCGGGTATTAGAGTAATTCAACTCGACGTGGGTGGGACTATAAGAGGCGTGTCCTTATAGAATAAGCAGAGCCTGGCCTTGAATCAAATGAATTTGAGGGGGAAATGAAGGACGGCAGTCGAGCGAGACATGAGCAGGGCTATAGAAGGCGGGTACGTGGAAGAGAGGCGGGTACATTGGAAAAAGGTGGAGCTATGCCCGGGGTGGTGCCTAGCTATGGAAGGAGTGAACCGAAAGGAAGGGAGCTTGCTCCTGATTGGCCAGAAGATCGACGAAAGACCTAGACGTTCGGATAAGGAATAGATGCGGAAATTGATGTTATGTTAGCGATGATGGTTATTGTGAAACTCACCTAAGGAAGTCTTCGCCCCGCTAGACACGATGGCGAACATGGCGCCGATTAGTCCTCCGCCGGCGGTCAGGATTTGAAAGACGGCCGCATGCCACCTGGTGAAGCCCGATCTGAGCAGGATGGCGAAGTCTCCCACCTCGTGGGGGATCTCGTGGACGAGGATGGCGAAAGTGGTGAGCAGGCCGATTTTGGGCGAGACCAAGAAGGCGCCGCCCAGGGAGAGACCGTGCGTGAAGTTGTCCAAAGTGTTGGCCACCAGGTTCAAGTAACCTGCCACCTGTAATCAAATGAGCAACTCATGAGTAGATTTCAAGTAGGAAAAAACAATACTAATATAATCTAAGAGAAAAAAGATCAATCTCGAGAATTATCTTGCATTTTTATGTTGAAAACGGGAGCAGATTCGTTCCCAAAACGTTGAAAGGTAAGTACAAATTCTGAGTTTTATATTCTTTCAGTATACTTATATTCATAGACGTATCAAAAGAGGGGAGGCATGACATTTCATTCATAAAACACTATTTGTTTACAATCATACATACTTCCAAAGTTACAAATGAGTTAGAAAGAGATGGCTTCAAAAATGAAATAGTATATTATTCAACGAGCGGTAATGTAGGTCATAACTCACGCAGATGAAGTTTGCAGCAGGAGCCACAGGCGAGTGCTGTAATTCATCAAGTGAGTTATGACCATTACCGCAAGTTGAATACTATACTATATCTACGACTATCACATAAATCCTAAGTTACAAGTACAGAAAAAGGACTTTATTGAAAAATCTTAATATACTTAATACAAATTTTAAATTTGATCACTCATTTTGTTTATTGAAAGAATTAACTGTGAAGTTTGAACAACCAGTAAACTGAATATGTGGAACTGAATTATGGAAGTTTATTGTTTCTTTTTGTGTTTGTTGCATATATGTTGTTGTTGTACTAACTGATTGAGCTGTAATAGAACTGTATATTTTATTTGCAGTATCTGTCTTATTCTTTTCGGAATCATCAACGTACCCCTCAGCCACAGTAGTTGATCGCTAACCGCCATGGCGTTTCAGTGCCGTACGGCATTACTAATAAAGTTGCCGACGAGCGGCGAAAACAATGCCCTGTATATAAGTAACAGTCCGGTAATTTCAGAAATGTGACAATGTCTTTCCCCATTGCTCCAAATTTATCAGCCTAGTTTGAAAACGTCAAAATTATTCAATTGACATCACTCCCCTCAATTACAATAATGGACTGTTCCCTTTCGGCCAACTGGCTTGTACAGAAGTACTGAGCCATCTTGATTTTCGGTTCGTAAATAATTCCAAGAGCCTTTCCCGATGTAAGTATTATAGTGAGTTATAGTAGCGAGAGTTATTATAACTCACGCTGTTTGTTTACAGATACTATTAATTGAACAAAGGCAGTTGAATCATTGATATGTAATTTAATAGGAGTAGATGAACTCTGTAAACTGTGCGTCAATGCTCACACTTTTCTTTACCAGTCGCGTAGGTTAAGCGAGGGGCAATACAATTTTAATACAATGACAACGCTATTATACCTATTTGAAAATGTTTGGGTCTAATCTTTTAATTTATTTAATACCAAATATTCGTAGTACCTTAGGTACTTAGCTAATTTTGATTCATCGTTCAGTGGAATTTGAACAAAAAAAAAGGTTTCTTGCAATAATTTAGTTAAATAACCTGCGATAACTACACCACTGCTCAAGTTAAAAGAAACATGTGCCTTCGTCTTCCATATATGGCAAGCTTCATTAGAAAAACATTGAGAATCTCTAGCTGTGGCGTGAGACATATCGAAAGCAATCAGCCGTGTTTGGCACCAAGGACTCCTTCACAAACTACCATCATACGGCTTACTACCTCAGCTATGCCATCTCTTATCGAGTTTTCTTTCAGGCAGATCACTCCACGTGGTGGTGGATGGTGTATCATCTGATACCATTGCCATCAATTCCGGCGTTCCAAAAGGATACTAAGTCAACTATATCAATGCTTGGTGTCTCCATCAGCAATACTCTTTCGTGGGATGATCATGTCAGGTCCATTGGGAAAGCTGCTTTACTAAATCTCGGATTTTTATTTCGTGCAAGAAGCTACTTTACACCTCAACAGCTAGAATACTGTTCTCGCATATGGGGTTCAGCACCCAAATATACTCTGATGCTCTTAGATTCCATCCAGAGAAGATCCATTCGCCTGGTGGGTGATGCCACACTCACTAACACTTTGACATAATTGGAACACCGTAGAAAGGTTAGCGACTTAGCGACTTTTCACTTTTTTATTGATCCACGGGAAATGTTCTTCAGAAATTTCTGCTATCATTCCACGACTAGCAATACCAACCAGACGAACTCGACAAGCGAAATCAGCACATATCCTTCCATTGTCAACCCCGAAATAAGTCGAACAGCACTATATCAAAAGTCGTTTCTCTATAGAACGGGAAAGCTATGGAATTCATTGTCTAAGGAAGTATTTCCAAGAACTTAAGATCTCCAAAAGTTCGAAAAAAAAAATCCAACACCTACCTCCTCTCCCTATCCTTTCTAGGTATGAACGATGTTCTTCGAACATTATAGAGATTCACTTTCGCGCGTACCAAGCGATAAAACATGTAACCTTGGAGTTTGTATGTATGTATGTAAATTTTTCACAATCCACACACTGGCAAACCATAGTAGACTTTTATGCCTTCGTATAAACACAAAAAGTCCTAAATTGGTAAAAAACAACACATCAACACTGTAACGTAGGATTTTGACATACGTGAATGACTTCAAATACGCGAATACAAAGTTGCCAAACTCATTTCCATAATTCATTATAATTTTATGCAATGATGAAATTAGGAAAATTTAAATTATTTCAATAGCAGAATTCACATATTTCAATTAAGGAACAAACACATACAGAATGAATATACATAAAAAATGTATATTAAATAATTAATATATATGTTAAATGCTTCCCTCGTTTTCGAACACAGGCGATAGATCTAGGACAATCCGCAGAAATTTGTCATCATCCTTGAATGCTGAAAAACGATGTTGGAACGGGACAAAATATAAACAATTTCGTATCCCCTCTTTTTATAGGTCTTTGCTTATATTTTTTTATTCTTCAAACGTTCGTCAAACAATCTGTCCCTATGGATTTATTTTTTCACTCATAGGTCCCGATTAGTGAACTTTTAAGGCTAGTGCTTGAAACACAGGCAGAACAGATAATACTATATCAATATTTGATACTTCCAGTTTCTAGTGATGGTTTTATATACACACAAAACAATTGAATAAAAACAAACGCAATCCTCGAGATAAGTTCAGATGTATATCAAATAAAAGATATCATCAGAATTTAAGATTCGTTTGATTAAATTGTCATTCACCAGAACTGATTCAAACTGAAAAATAAAAATATTACCTACCATTGAGGTTTTATGTTCTTGTAATTTGGATCCTTTTGTGTTGTTATTTTCTGTAGTGTCCGTATTAGTATTTTCTTCAGCAGCTTGTTCTATCACAGAGAATAACTTTTCGGCAGTCACAAATACAATGAGACCTGTTAATATCAGAAGTCCACTTCGCGAAAAATGATGTCCACCTGTAACGAAAATCGACAGTAATTACTGAAAGTTGTAATTTTATCGGATTTTTACTACAGAGCTATACGCTATACAATAATGAAACTTCATTACAGTAGGCGAAAACACTAATTTCTAGATAAAATGCAATGAAGTTCATCACGTTCAGCAAAAGAACAGAGAACGTTTTCGGATTTTTTATTCCACCTCAATTTTTTAATATAAATTCTAAAATAATGCTCTTGTTGAAACACGACGAAATTTACTATTTAGTGAGATGTTGCCGTCTCAACCGATTCTTCAGCTTGTTTGGATATTTCAAGATTTATCGTTGTAAAGATTCAACTGATTTCAAAAATGTCTGGATGAGTGCTTTAACAAAGTAAAGTAGCCTGAAGTCTTGTTTCTATCTACTTACTCATATTATTACATTAGTGCACTACACTGTTTTACCACTAACCAAACCGATTTTTTAACGCCTCGACACTGTTTCGCTATGTTAGCATCTTCAGGAGAAGATAAAACTAAATATCCTATTCTAGTGTGCTGCTTATATACTAGGTATATGTTCACCCAACTGTGAAAAATACTAACCGTCAAGTTAATGTTTGTCATGGTTGAGTTCACATGTTAATCTTAATTTTTATTTCACTTAACTATATTGAGGGCTATATGGAATAGGTCCATTATCCTTATTCATTACTCTATTACTATTCTTAAATATCTCCAAGCTTTCATATGCGTCTAGTTTTCTAATGTTATTAACTTGCTTAACTAATTTGAGGTTAGTAATATGTGTGTTATGATTGTGATTAAACATATGTTCGGCTACACAAGATTTATCTAACCTGCCATATTTTAAATGGGCTATGTGTTCTTTGAACCTTGTTTTTATGGGTCGCCTGGTTTGGCCTATATATGTTTTATCACAATCATTGAGGCGTTAAAAAATCGGTTTGGTTAGTGGTAAAACAGTGTAGTGTATTATCGTGCCAAAGGTTCCAGTCTTCGATATATTACATTAGTGGTTACTTCACTTACAACTATTTTAGTTAATTCTTTCGGTTGTTGAAAAATAGCATGTTTCATTCGAATCAAAAGTGACTTTGTTAGACTCGCAAATTTTGATTTCGCTCGTCTTCGCTGAACGCTCCGCCTCGCAAATGCTCAAACAAAGTGTCACTTTTGATCCTAATGAAACAATAAACAATCTACTATTATGACGTCGGTACTAGACTAATGAGGTTGCCACCAGCGCTATGTTTGAACGTTCCATGAAATTGTATATTTTATCAAAAAAATTATTCAGTCATGTTATAGGTATGTTATGTTATCTACTGTGTGTTATGATTGTGATTAAACATATGTTCGGCTACACAAGATTTATCTAACCTGCCATATTTTAAATGGGCTATGTGTTCTTTGAACCTTGTTTTTATGGGTCGCCTGGTTTGGCCTATATATGTTTTATCACAATCATTGAGGCGTTAAAAAATCGGTTTGGTTAGTGGTAAAACAGTGTAGTGTATTATCGTGCCAAAGGTTCCAGTCTTCGATATATTACATTAGTGGTTACTTCACTTACAACTATTTTAGTTGATTCTTTCGGTTGTTGAAAAATAGCATGTTTCATTCGAATCAAAAGTGACTTTGTTAGACTCGCAAATTTTGATTTCGCTCGTCTTCGCTGAACGCTCCGCCTCGCAAATGCTCAAACAAAGTGTCACTTTTGATCCTAATGAAACAATAAACAATCTACTATTATGACGTCGGTACTAGACTAATGAGGTTGCCACCAGCGCTATGTTTGAACGTTCCATGAAATTGTATATTTTATCAAAAAAATTATTCAGTCATGTTATAGGTATGTTATGTTATCTACTGTGTGTTATGATTGTGATTAAACATATGTTCGGCTACACAAGATTTATCTAACCTGCCATATTTTAAATGGCCTATGTGTTCTTTGAACCTTGTTTTTATGGGTCGCCTGGTTTGGCCTATATATGTTTTATCACAATCATTGAGGCGTTAAAAAATCGGTTTGGTTAGTGGTAAAACAGTGTAGTGTATTATCGTGCCAAAGGTTCCAGTCTTCGATATATTACATTAGTGGTTACTTCACTTACAACTATTTTAGTTAATTCTTTCGGTTGTTGAAAAATAGCATGTTTCATTCGAATCAAAAGTGACTTTGTTAGACTCGCAAATTTTGATTTCGCTCGTCTTCGCTGAACGCTCCGCCTCGCAAATGCTCAAACAAAGTGTCACTTTTGATCCTAATGAAACAATAAACAATCTACTATTATGACGTCGGTACAAGACTAATGAGTTTTTATCAAAAAAATTATTCAGTCATGTTATATGTTATGTTATCTACTATGTACAGTCGTATTCAATAAAAAAGCGTACAAGTATTGAACATAGAAGATTTCGGCATTCTAGTTCTCGTTGTGTAAAATTGGCTCAGCCAATGCTTTGTGTTTTTGAGAACCTATGATTACTCTACTGTCAACATTTGGTAAACATTCATTCCCGATAGCCCGTTTTACGCAAATAGGATGACGTTAATTTCTCCCTCCAATACACTTGTACGCTTTTTTTCAATACGACTGTACTATATTTCAGTTATATGCACATATAAATTGAATTCACGGTTCCACAAAGATCCTCAAAGTGTGTTTTTTGCACAGAGGAAATAAGCAAATGAATCTTTTTACTTGATTTTCGAGTACCTGTTTCACTCATAATGACCTCAACTTTCGGAATTTGAATAAAACGACCAGTATTCACATTATTCCATAAATTGTAATAAGCATTCAATATTTGTCACGCATACTTACCAATTCTGTTATTGTATACCTATACCACTATACTAACCCAGCGAGCACAAACATCCGTGGGATGTTTTGGGATGTTTTGAAAATGTTGGCATGAAGATGTTATTTTGAGACGTAATATGCACTGACCAAATAGGTCTTTGAAGGATATTGAAGTATTGTTTTTGTTCTTCTGTGGCATTTCTTTGTTTGCCTACTGAGAGGTATCCCTGGGATGTTTTGGGATGTTTTAGAGATGTTGGCATGACGATGTTTTTTTGAGGCGTAATATGCACTTCCCAAAGAGGTCTTAGAAGGATATTGGAAGTATTGTTTTTGTTCTTTTGTGCCCTTTCTTTGTTTGCCCCACCACAACGTCTCATGCTCACGTCACAATACGATGAATTCTGATTTGTTTTTGATTTTTTTCTTCTTGTTCGTAATTGGCATTCGCGTTTGCAGCGTGTCACGCTTACATCACGCTGCTAACGAACAGAAAGGAATTTGGTGAAGTTTATTGTGTAAGAATACTTATTTAGTTTGTAATAATGACCATCAGATGCAAGATGTTTTGTTCGGTGCCTCAGTGTAATCAATATATAAAAGTACGAATTTATCAATACACAGCTTCTCCGCAGTTGAAAAATTATGCATTGTGGAGAACATTTCAAAAATTGGGAAACCTATTTCCAATGATATGTCTGTGTGTAGTAAGCACTACTCAGAAATCGATTAAGAAGGTAATTTCATATCAAGAAAATATTTTTATGTTCAATCTATTTTTAATGCATTTTTTCATTTTAGGGAAATGGAATCCTAATGCAAAAGTTCATTTTGACAAAAGGCTTCAGAAAAGTACCTCGAAAATGGTTTTTTCACAGCGATTTAATGTGCGCAAGACGCGTTGAAAATGTTTTGTTGTGTCCATGAAAAGGCTTTAAAAAGTACTAGGTAGAAGGTAGTTTTGTGACATATCGAGGACATCCCGATAATTGCCGCCTGCGGCGGACATTGGCTGTTCTATAATAGTTCTATTCATGTGTGAACAGAACATCGCAGTGGAGGTTCAATGTCTCGAAATCTCGTACTTTTAACATCTCTGAGATGTTTTTGTGCTCGCTGGGAAGATATCAAAGTTCAACACACTTTGTAGCTATGGTTCATCAGGACATTTTTTGATACTTTGTAATAACATTTTAGCCCTCTATAAGTCTATATCAAGTACTTACCTTCGTTTTTTGTGTGATTATATCAAATACCAACAATATACACGGTCGTCAAAAAAGTCAACGTGTTTCCTTGGAAGGATGTTAGGCCAGGTTATGACTGACAGGAATATCCAAATATGAGCTTAGTATTACAAGAATTTTGTGATTCGTGAAATGTCAGTGTATTTGTGCCGTATTCTGTTTTGTTTTTGTAGTTACCATTTTGTCACCAATGGTGTTGCTTGTACTGTGAACTGTATATGTTATGGCTTCATGTGTACTTTGACAAACAAAAGTTAAGCAAGCCAACGTTAGTTTAGTTCATTGTACCAGTATATCACCTGACGAAGCTACTGTGTTAGCGAAACATGTCGTGTGTTTAATAAATTTTGTGGAAATCTTATCGTTTGTGAAGTTTTTACATTTATCATGGATTTCCATCAAGTAACGGCCGAGTCAATTCAAAATTTGACAATTTCAATGAATGTTATCTGTGTCTAATGGACAATCATTATTATTATTATCATCATTAAAAAAAAAAATAGTTTTAGAGATATACAGTTGATGTCATTTTGAAAGATACATATTTTCTATTGGAATCAGAATGAAGCACTTGAATTACAAAAAAAAATGCCCAGCCATTCGGAAGTTAACTAGAGGGAGAGTATACTTTATATTATATGGACACAGAAACATAGTGAATTTATGCTAAGGACAAATCACTGACTATTGCTTGCATTATTTTTCTTTTAGGTTTTCAAAGGCTTCAACACTTTGGGAAGAATCAACTGTTTTTTCCTTTTATTTTTTTCTATCTCTTGGAGCGAGGAAGAAATCCCAAAAAATCTTTCCCCTCGTTGAACCTACATACATTATAAAAAAGCAACTTTTTGAGAAAAGAAGAAAAAATGTCTCAAAAGTAGCACAAACTATAGATACCTACTACAACAGATTTTTTAGATATCTAGTAATTAATTATTATTTCTTATTATCAATATTCGTCAGTCAATTTCATCTAGGTATTGAAGTAGCATATACAGGGTGGTTCACGGTCGACGGCACCTTAGACGTATACGGAGAACGGGACATAAGATCATTCTGAAAATGTGGTCACTCCGAGTAATTGCTCTTGATCTATCGATCTAAAATATTTTCAGCAATGCAGCGTTGCCGCTTATACCCGAAAGTAGCAGCATCTTTGTTATTCTAAATAGGACACCCTGTATATTGACGCATTTTTAAACTTAACATCACTTTCTGATTATTTCTGTCTCATACTATCTTAAACCTATCTCTAAGGGTTTATGAGATATTGATTATTTTGCATATTTTTTATCCAAAACATAGCTCGAATTGAATGTTTATTTCTGCCGAATTTGGATTCTTAGGAAGTTGCAATATTGTGTTTAGTTCATCAAGATCATGTATATTGATTCTGCGGAGAAAAGGTTGTTCTGCGTTATACAGGGTCGTTCAAAATTCATGATCTTACTGCTAGATACAGAAAGGGTTGAAAGTGCGTTTTTTCAAATGGAACACCCTGTATATTATGAAATATCCTGAAAGTAGAGTAAATTCCCTTCGAATTGATATATTATGTTCCTATATCTAAAAAGCCAGAATTCCGAGATAGGAGCTATTTACTAAAAACATCTAATTATTTTTCTAATATTCATCTAAGGTGGCTATTAAATGTCATGATGGTACATGATATTATGAAAATTTGACAATTAGTGCATTAGTAATAATACCTTTGTGTGTGACTCAAAATGAATTGAAATGGAGGAAAATATCTATTCAAACGAAGTTATGATGAAATTGTTTATTGTTCATGGAAAATGTGAGGAAATTATAGCAAGAACGTGCAGAAAATTCAATGAAACGTATCCTGATCTACTACCAATCAACAGGAAGAACATTAATTGTTTTGAAGAAAAATTATGCAAAATAATCAATATCTCAAAAACCGTTAGAGATAGGTATAAGATAATATGAGGCAGAATTAATCAGAAAGTGATGATAAGTTCCAAAATGTGGTAATATACAGAGTGTCCCGTTTGAAATAACAAAGATGCTGCTACTTTCTGGTATAACGCTGCATTGGTGAAAATATTTTAGATCGATAGATCAAGAGCAATTACTTGAGTAACCAAATTTTCAGAATGATCTTATGTCCCGTTCTCCGTAAACGTCTAAGGTGCCATCGACCGTGACCCATCCTGTATAAGATAGTGAAAATTCTGACCATACCATCAGATAGTATTAACCTATCAGCAAAGAATAAGTGGTTGTTGTGTGTAAAATATCATAACAATTATTTCAATGTTCTCCATATCAGGACTAATCTCTAACTTAATTGTGGATATTATCTAAATGAATGTCCAATGGCGATGACAACTTCATACATTAGTCATATTAAAATATACCAGATAAAGTTGTTATTTCCATAATATATGAGCTCAAGTTGATGATATTTTGCGAACGGAACCAAAACATTGAAATAAGACAATGGAGGTTGATAAGGAATTCATTTTCGATTTATGTCTATTTTGATGCACAAGGTTTTATACCAAAAGTAGAGGCATATTATATATTCATTACCAAACAATGACTGAAGCAGAATGTGGCGATATTTCAAGGCCATTTTAAATTTATATTCCATTAACACAGACCAGCAGATTGAGTTTTTTATATACTGGATCTTTGGACAAAAATAGGCAAATAGCAGTAAATAAGATGTATCACAATAAGCGATTTCAAAATCGAATTGTATCAAAATTTAATGAGACTGCTGCTCCTGAAGTGGAGTATGGAGTTATAGTAAGTAACTAGAGTCACTGTATGGTATTAGTTTGATAAGAGTTCGGACACAGAAATGACAACGTTTAGGATTTTTCAATGTTCTGATTCATGTTACACACCAAGTATTATGACAAGAGCAACATAGTCGTCCCGCGCTTTTTCACTCAAAACTGTTTGAATTTGACAATAAATTTTATAAACGTCAGGATTGAAATAAAATTTCATTATTTAACTTCCAAGGAAAGAGCAGCTATGGAAATTATACTTGCTGTTATGGATTGTGCCAATTCTGAAAAAAAATGGATACAGCATTTATTCAATTTTCCAAAACAAATATCAACCATTCGCTCATGGAAGGAAGATATGGGTGGAAAATCGATTTGAAGACGAGCAAAATTTGTGAGGTACTCATAAAAATTCACTTCTTATAACAGCATCTGATTAGAATGAAACTATATTTCAGGCTCATTTTCAAACAGAACATTTCAAAATCTGGAGTGAATCTGAGGAATCTGCTGTTCCATCAATTTACAAAGCAGAAGAATATTAAGTAATTCAAAAGCGAGTCGAAGTATGGGATTAAGAAGTTAGTGAATGCAAAACTCTGTGTTTTTAGTTTCCACAGTTTCATAAGGTATATTATATATTATGTTCTCACAAATCTATTATACCTACTTGGGTATTTATGTGAACATGAAACCAATGAGAATTTAAATAGTTATTTACAATTTTCTATATCGATCCATGTTACTGAGCTCCTAGGGCGCTAAGTGAAGTTGCTGAGAACTTTACAAAACCAAGTATGTGGTAGGTCTCGTCAAAATAAACTACTTTCTTCCTATGAAATGTTCATCGAAAAATGATTTGTTCCCTGTATTTCAACACTCTGTATCTCCGAAATGAAGCATTTCCGCGGACACAATAAGCTAATATAGACTTTATTTCTTAAAATTGTTTCAGGAATACTTCACTTGAACTTACTTATGTTACTTCCTGTATGAGAATACCTACCTTTAATTGCATATTAATATCTTCATGTTTTATACTTCATATATCACTGGAGTACAGTTTCACATAAAATAAGGAATCAGCTAAAAGTATATCCATATGTGTATATTTTCTAATATTAAAATGTTCTTAGATGCATTCTTTTAATTTGTATAACTGTTGCTCTGCTAAAAGTTTATCACTATAAATTGAAGTAGGTGTTTGTACCCTATTTCCATAGTCCATCTACGGCTATGATTGATTTGACAGGAAATATAACCTCTGAAATCGTATCTGACAATCAGGCGCTACTAGGGGAATTGAAAAGACAAAGAGCAGAATATATGTCTTATTCTTTTATTCACTTAAACCATTGTATTGTAGAAAATAGAAAAGGACAAAAGTTCAGCTGTGTCCGAACTCTTATCAAACTAATACTATCCAGTGACTCTAATTTTTTTTTATCGCTTGGAGCGCATGATAGTAACAAGGCCTAGGAAAAAAAACTCAATATACAGGGTGCCATTAAAATAAATACATTAAATTTGAACCCTAAGTAGGCTCAAGGCATATACTATCGAATGGCACCATTGAAAAAAATATAGGGGTCAAAATGAGATTTGGGACAAGTCCCCCTTTTCTGCCCAAATTTCGACTCATCGAGAGCTAGTCGCTCATGGAAGGCATATCGAACGAAGATAATAGCGGATAACAAAGCGATGTTGCCAACAGTTCATAAATATGGTGTGACAACAAAAAATTAATGTTTGTCAGATCTGAGATAGGTATATAATGTCGGATAATTTTATAATTGGATCTTCTGACTAATATTCTAGACTAGAAGATTCATATCTAGAAAACTAGAAAATATGTGACGAATTGATCGAGAAATCGGAATTGATAGTCATTATATTTTTGAGAATCACTGAAATAAGAAAAAAGGAATACCAAAATAATCAACTGAGAGATATAATAGATAATACAAACATTTCAAAGTCAACTCACCTCACAAGTGTTTTATGAAGACAAGCTCGAAAGCTCAACAGAAATATACCTAATAATTTTGTTCCTGTAATTTAATGAGAGAATAAATTTCTTCGGACTCGGGCTCTTTCGCCAAAATATGAAAATAAACTTGCAATTTTTAGATAACACGCTTTCTGGCACATTATCGGTAATTTTAATGCACTTGAGCAATTATAACCGAAAATTTCAGATTGAGAACAAAGTTATAACAAAATTAATTTTCGTAACAAACCATTTTTTATGAACAATTCAGACAAATTCTAAGAAGCGGCAACATAGTCAACACAAATGTTGGAAATCCTTGAGGTTTCTGGTATACATTCGAATTCATACCACACATTCTTCTCGAGGTATAACATCCAGAATGGTATTTATGGAAAAGATTTTTTACTTGGTTCCAAAAGGGTACCATTCCCATTTCATTCATTCATATTCATCCGTGTTTGAAGTTTATGATTGTTAGCATATTAAATAGTTATTCAGTTCGAGATCTTACCTATTCTTGTATCGTGGTTGTCGTTGGAACATATTTCGGGAAGGGAATGGAGGAATACATCTCCCAATAGTCCACCAACAGCAAAACTCAACAGCGTCTTGAGCCTGCTAGCATTGGCTGAAAATAAAAAAAAATCAATATCACATTTTGTCTTTATCCACCCCTCATCCTTAGGTATACTTATTATAGACAATGGTAGTAATAGTATATTATATAACAATATAAATGTCCTTTTAGTAACGAGTATTTTGAGCACGAGCGTAGCAGAGCGGAAAACTATGATCCTCAAAAATCTCGATTCATATTTGAATCAAGAGAAAGGAACAAGGGCGTGCGTCGATAATTTTTTTTATCTTGGGGGGATGTGGGCTTTTTGGTATAGGTGATGAAAAAAAATCATCATACAGTCTTATTCATGAAGTCGGCATCATATGGAAAAAACTTTTAATAACTATTTATTTGTAAATTCGACTTGGGATTTAAGTTTTGATTGAAAAAATAATAAAAATTAACTACTCGGTCGGTAACTTTCGCTACATGTCAAATGATACGTTTTTTCAAATTAATCGCGCTGAAAACAGGCTTATCTTTGAAAAGGAACATTCTCAGATATATTTATGAACACAAAAAAAATGGATATATATACCGAGTGGGCCATTGAAAACGAAACAGCGGCTATGTAGATCGGCAAAACCGGATTATGAAAAAAATCTGAAACACTACATTTCCGAGGGGGATATTTATTTGAAACAAATACAGAGTGGTTCAAGATTCAGACTTCTGATCACTCTGTATCTGTTACAATTAACCATCAGTAGATAGTAAATCAAAAGTTGAGATGGGGACATAAAAGCCGTTTTGAGTAGTTTTGACCAATAATGAATAGTTGCGACACAAAAAATCCTAGTTGAAAAATCTCGATTTTGAACACCGTATATCCCTGAACTCATTCCAGCTAGACCCCAAGTGTGATGCATTGATGAAATCAGCTCTTCGGGGAGAATCTAAAAATGCAATGAAATACAAGGTGTCCCATTTGAAATAACAAAGTTGTTGCTTCTTTTCGTTAGAAGCGGCAACGCCGCAGGGGTGAAAATCTTCTGAAGTAGAGAATTTGCATTCTCCTTCATATAAGGATATGCATATAATATAATTCTGAATATTCAACAGAAAACAACTACTTTCCTGGCTATTTGCCACGTCGAACATTGATTTATATTTTGTTTTCATATTCTTATCCTGTGTGTTCAATAGATGCAGAGATTATACACTCCCCAGATGTAATTCAATATTCGTCGTGGCATATAGCCAGGAAAGTAGTTGTTTTCTGTTGAATAAACCGAGAAAGAATTAATATTTTCATCACATGGAGAATGCGAATTCTCAATGTATTTCTTTATATATATACATATATCCATTTTTTTTGTGTTCATAAATATATCTGAGAATGTTCCTTTTCAATACTTTAACCCAATCAAGGGGTTCAAACTTGAACGATGGAAACACTATTTTTATAGACCTCAATCGCAGATTCGTGATTAGGTTTTTCTCAATTCAGAATTTCTTTCCACATCCTGTATGATGAATGTCAATTTATCATACACATCCAAAAATTTTATATTATACCTATTACGTGTCTCGAATTTGAATGTTCTGTAAGTTTTAATTTTTGATATTTTTCATTTTCTACGAAATGTATATAATATTAACAAAAATTAACACAGATCAATCAACTCCTACACGGAAAACGCTATTTGACGACGACGTGAGTGATTTTGACATCGATAAAAAAGGATGCACATTTTTTATCGCTGATGAACTGCCTGCTCCTTTGATCTAGTGGCTATTTGCGCCTGATGTCACTCCAATTTCTGTCGTGTCAAGTTTGATTGATGGGTATGGTTCACGCGTAAATTAGCAAGATGAATCGTTCAAGGAAAATTTCGTCTGAAGAAACCACGGAAATATGAGAAAATCAATTCCGCAAGCTACCAGTTACACGGAATCATCAATGAAGGTAATCATTATTGTTGTTTATGCGTATATTGTCGTTGATTTGTGTTGCCAAAAAACACTCGAACATTTTTTTTAATTGGATAAATTTCTCTTGGTAACGAAAAACATTTGCCGATCAGTAATTTTACGAGAAAAACTGACATGAAAAAATTGCGAGACCGTAGGTCGAGCAATTTTGTCGAATGTCAGTTTTTCGATAAAAAAAAAGCTCTTGTGTTTTTACTTTTGACAATAATGGATGAGCAACAGTCTAACATCTCTAAAAGTAGCTGAATATACTTTCAGGACCACCCTGTAAAGTTAGTAAAGTTATATAATAGGTGATTGAATTTGCTCAATCTAATCTATTTACGTGTGAAGATTGTGTTCTAACGAGAAAATAATTATTGTTAAAGACACTTGATTTTTTATAGATAATATCGAAGGAGGATTAACTATACCTACCAATACTAACCTACCTATCTATCTATACCGAGGTTTATAAAACATAAAATTAATGCAAAATAAATAAAAAAATAAAAAAAAGCGTGTTTCCACTTGTAAAAAATACTATAAAATTTAACTCTCTTGTAACCTCATGACAATAAACATGTTTTTTTTCACCTCTCGGGGCACGCGAATGGAACTCCTTATTATACTCGTTGAATTTCGTACGTATGAGACGATCTCATCTACCATTTTCGTTCATTTTATGAACTAGTGTTGTAATGACTTTGAGTTTCTCTCTCTTTGTGATAGTAATATAAGTTTGATTTGAGTATGAAATTGACTATTTTGAACTATGCATTGGTACACCTCTGAATTAAGGTGGGTTAATACAGCAATTAAAATAAAATAAGGAATTAGATGAGATAATTTGAGAAATAAGGAATAAAATCCACTGTTTATACAGATGACTAAAATAAAATTATGATTGAAATTAACCAATCTAATCACGGCATCGATGACAATGACGTTTCATGTTTCATGTTCTATGTGGAGATTCTGTGACAGAATTCATTTGGGTCATGCGCATTATCATTTTACGAAAAAAATAAAATAAATTGAAGTTGGTCATTTTTTATCGTCTTTTATTTTATTCTAATTCTTATTCTTAATTTATTTCTTGTATGAACGGTCCAATGGAATTGCCCATGTTGAAGTTTCTTATTTTATCCTATTTTTATTCCTTATTTTGTTATACAGTCTGTCCAAGATAAGGTTGAACAGCATGGGGATCTCGGAAACGGTAGGAGATACGAAGTCGTTCAAGTGGGGAAAAAGTTGCGCATTCGGAGGCTCATATCAAGAGCCTTCGAAAATTTTCAAAAATATTTTTAGTTTTTGAGTTATATCGAAAAAAGTGAATTTTTGGAATATCTATTCTATTTTTTTTCTCCGTTATTATTAGAGATACATAAAAACTGAAGATACTTTTCCATAGCAACTTTTGATGACGTTTAACGTGGTTTTACCGATTTTTTTATGCGACATTTCGTATCCGTAGAACCATCATCAACTTTTGTTTTTTAAATACGGTCCTGATAATTTTTTCACAGATTCTGAAAGGTTTTTTTATTCTGAATTCAACCATGTATTATACAAGGTGATTTGAATGTGTTTCGACCTATTTCCATCCATCATCAATGTTTTTTCGAAATTCCAAAGGAAAAATGCCATCAGTTCCACTTATTTCGAAGGAAAATCAGTCAACACACTAATACCTCATCAACTGGTTTCAATCAACAACCTATATATTTCATTTTGCGGAAACAAAAATTCCATCAATACAAATTCGAAATATGTCAAGCGCTAAAACCAGGCGATGACGAAATGCGCAGGACATTCTGTGAGTGGTATACCAGGAAATGTCAAAATTTTGCAAATTTCCCGCGAACAATCATCTGGACTGAAGAAAGCATGGTCACTAATCATGGTATCTTCGATAGAAAAAATACACATTGTTCACGAGAAAATGAACATTTATGCATTACAGCGAGACACCAACACCGTTTAATATGTGAGTTGCAGTATTTGGTACACGAATTATTGGTCCTTTTATTCACCATGAAATAGAGACTTCCTTACGTTATAAAAATTTGCTTGAAAATCATCTTGAAGAAACTCTGGATGATTTACCGATTGCGGAAGTTCAGAACTGTTGGTTTCAACAAGATGGCGCTCCGGTACATAATTCCAGAGAAGTTCGTGCGTTTTCATACAGAAAAATGGATTGGTACTCATTCTGCAGTCCCTTGGCCGGCGCGGTCACCTGATTCGACACAGCTGGATTTTTTAAAGGGGATTTATCAAAAACTTTGTACACGAAGATAGCTTTGATGATGAAGATGAACTGAGGGACAGTGTCATCGAAGCATTCAATAGAATAACCCCAGAAATGCTTAGTATTGTCTTAGAAGCAACTGTGAGAAGGGGATATCTTTGTTCAGAAACTGATGGTTATTATTTTGAACATTTCTTATGAATGTTTCTGTAGTTATTGTCAAAGTCAAGTTGTTAAAGTAATTCGTGTAAGAATTCATCAACAATTTTAAGCGCTGCATTGAATGATGTAGTGAAATATTTTGTATTCACTTTTCAGTATCCAATAACTAATCCATCAATGTTTGACACTAAATGATCAGAAATAAATGGAACTGATGGCACTTCTCCTTTGGAAGTTCGAAAAAACATTGATGATGGATGGAAATAGGTCGAAACACATTCGAATCACCTTGTATAATACATGGTTGAATTCAGAATAAAAAATCCTTTCAGAATCTGTGAAAAAATTATCAGGACCGTATTTAAAAAACAAAAGTTGATGATGGTTCTACGGATACGAAACGTCGCATAAGAAAATCGGTAAAACCACGTTAAACGTCATCAAAAGTTGCTATGGAAAAGTATCTTCAGTTTTTGTGTATCTCTAATAATAACGGAGGAAAAAAATTAAATAGATATTCCAAAAATTCACTTTTCTCGATATAACTAAAAAACTAAGAATAATTTTACAAATTTTCGAAGGCTCTTGATATGAGCCTCCGAATGCGCAACTTTTTCCCCATTTAACCGACTTCGTATCTCCTACCGTTTTCGAGATCCCCATGCTGTTCAACCTTATCTTGGACAGACTGTATTTGCTGTATAAACTCACCTTTACTGAAAATATTTCACAGTACATGAAGATTCCTGCAGTTCTATAGAGTAACTAGCACCATCTCTTGGTCAGTACTGAAACTTTTAGTTGTTACAGTATAGCATGTGAGAGCTAACAAAATGATGAATCAGATACCCAGCGTATTCTACTCAAAATGGTTATTTTTCGAGTTGTTACACTATTGAACTCGGGAATCGATTTGTTAGATATATTATTCGCAATTTACATTCTTAGTCACCAGTAACCTAGTATATAACCTTTGAACTGATAATATGACTAATGTCAGTAATGTTCAACTGGTAATATCGAGTTATAGTGAGATATATTGAATACAAGCCTCGCATCACTGGAAATTAATTCATTGACACGGAACGATATACCTAACAAAAGTAACAAATATCAGAACCGATTTCAAGAGTTTACACTGCAAAAATAAGATATCTTATTTGCATAAAGGTGGTTCCTCGGGTGGTTCTAAGTTTTAAGGGGAGGGGGGGTTAAATAGCAGAAATAAACTCATGAGCACAACCAAATTTTCCATAGTCATTGTAGTTAGTGGGTAACTTGTTAGCTGATTTGGAAAACCGGAAAACCCAAACGTGAACTAAATTGGGTCGAGTCGAAGGGGGTAATCACGGCACAGGAACGTGTACACCAAACTTTCCATGGACTTCCATGAACTCCCTCAAATACTCTCGAACTTTCCATTTCTTCCGCTTCCTCGGACTTCCACGAACTTTCAAACTTTATCGAACTTCCCAGAACTTGCTCAAGCCTATACTTCCAACTTCCCACGTGATTACTCGTGATTACCACTTCGATTGGGACGTTTAAATTTTGAACCACTTTACATATTTTACGAGATATTTTGTCTTTTTGCCAAAAAACTTCGTTTCGCAAAAACAATTTCTCGCATATAACAAATTGAAAAATTTTGAATTGACTCGGCCGTTACTTGATGGAAATCCATGGCAAATGTAATAACGTCACAAACGATTGTGGAAATCTTATCGTTGGTGAAATTTTTACAAAATTGAAAAAGGAGTAATTTGCCACAAGGCAGAGACAATATTTGTTGGTGAATCGTATTTTCGAAACATGGAATAACTCATCCAACGATGTTGTGAATTCTGACTCAGTGAATAGCTTTAAGAACAAGATAGACATTTGCTTATTTGCTCAATTATTGTCTCGGTTATTGTCTATGTATTTCTTTTTCTTTTTCATTTATTGTATCAACTTGCTGATCCCTTCAGTTTTTAGGCTTACATAGGCCTCTGTCCTCAGCCTTTACTCATAGGTATGTAATAATAATAATAAAACAACTTGATTTTGTCTTAGATTTTCGAGTGGATTGTTTAGCTCCATATTTTGATATTCAAAATACCTTCTACAACTTCATTTACATTGATTTTATAGTTGGTATTTCCAAATGTATATCTGAGTTTATTGTACCTATATCAGATGCCTCCCTGAACTTTCAAGATTGCCATATAGTGCTATCGCTTAGGTGGAATAAACCGGAATAAACTCATAAAATTCCCGAATTTCCATGAATGAATTAGACTGACTCAGAATTCGGAAGCATACTAATTCAACAATGAAACCGGAAAAATTCACTTGTAAATTTTAGGTAGTAGTGGTAGTATAGATATACAATGTCCCATATGTAATGGATCAAAAGCAGTGGGGTGGTAGGGTGGCTCATTTCCAATCAAACTAACCGTTTAGGTGGTTATCCCATTGTTGATAGTTCAAAAGTTATTAATGTTTTTTTATTTCTATACACCCTGTATAGGTACAACTTGGTAATACTTTTCGCACATTATTTCAGCGAGACGAGCATTACGCAATGATTGAAGCGAATCTGCATATAAATAGCGAGATAAATAGTACACAAAGGAATCGGCGAAGTTCATCATCATACCAATCAACGGGAATAAATTGATTTCATTTAATTTCCACATTGGAACTAGTGATCTTGATTGTCGGGTGATTTACTCTTGGCGAACATCTGAAACAAGACATTTACCTCTTACCGCTACTATTTTGAAAAATGTGCTCTACAAAAATGGCACCCAACGGCAACGAGAAATATATGTTGATGCGGATGGTGCCATCAGTGCCATTAGGTTTGAATCATCATAATAGGAAAGATACTATATCTCTTGAATCTCTTGCTATTTTCACTATTATTAGTTTATTTATGCCTCGATTTATGCTAACTGTTTGTGTGACGGTCATTTCGGAATTCCAGATATAATAGTATAGTTGGTGGACAAGTTATCTGTTTCAATTTACCACGTTTAGGCTATGACAGAAAAGAATGCACTTAATTTTTCAGGGGATATTTTAAGATTGTTGAAACTCGGATGGATAGGAAAGTGGAAGACCTCCATTAAGGTAGCACAACTAGCAAAATCACTTTGGGTTATCTAATTTTTTCTTCGGAAATAATTAGAGGCTAATTTATTTCCCGATCGCCGAATTTATTGATCCACTTCGTGAATAAAAGTTCAATCAATCACATGAATAATTATAGCATCATTTAAGGCTAATTTGACATTTGAGGCTACAATCCTAGTCTACTGCCGATTTAATATCACATAAGATGATACGACCAGTTATTAACAATAACGTAGAATAAGTCACCGGCCTCGGATTGCTTGTTCTTCCCTCAATTCAATTTTGAATACGCTTCCTGTCAAAGTTGCTTGTATTGATATTAGTTTCTTGTTTATTAGTTTTGCACCGAGCGACTCACGTGGCCATTTAGATTTCGACTGAAACAACTATTCAAAAGAATCAGTGGATACCTCGGTGAATACAGCAAAATATGCGAGGTAAACATAATATAGAATCACGTGCAACTATTAATTTTCTTCACTCGTGATGGTTAAATGACAATATCATTCAAATACTATCAATGAGAATCTGTCATCGATAATGATAATAATAATAATATGCTGATATTTCTGTAGATAGTACATAGTACTGCCAGCCTGGCTGCAATAACAATAAGCAAGGTTGTTTATGTTACTGCAATAATGTGATATCGGCGATTTGGTTTGCATCCCACGGTTGAATTATCTCGACAATAATTTGGTCTCGAATCTGTTACATAAGCACTTAGTAATTTTCGTGGAAGTTTAAGAAATTAGAAAAAAACACTGTCGAAAGTGTTGAACTACTCGTCGGCTTATATGGAATTACGAAACAAGCAAAAACGCAAGCAGGTCTATTAGTTACCCGACCCATTTCTTCACCAATTTCGTTAACTAGGTGTACAATAGAAGTTATATACACCTGATGAACTGTCGAAATCTTGGTAGAAATATTTTAGTGAAAAACTATTGTTTCAGCCACGTGCTCACTAATTTGGGGGTGGGGGTAATTCTCTAGAATCGAGCCTAGAAGGCACAGGACCACCAATGGAATAAGGACATTTTTGTGAATTCAGGGAAAATAACCAGTTAACCTATCAGAATTTAATTTGACAAGGACTAGTGAGGCATTTGCGAGCTTATTTGGATATTTGGTTAGTTTACCTTGAGATAATGAAGTGGATAACCTAGTAAATAACCTCGTAAATAACTTAGAAATGATTTACTTCAGTCTCAGTTGGGATGAAGGACTAAAGACATTTATCATTCTTGGTCTATTTATTTCGCATTAATGAAATTTGGAAAGACGTCTTGAATGAACACGAAATACAAGTTCAACGTTCCTAACCTCACTTCCTATCAATTGCAATTGTCCTCGCCAGTGCCGCCACTCGGGAGTAAACTCGGGAGTAAACATCCCTCCGAGTTGACGACCAGTACAGTGTCGGCCTGACCTGGACCCTGGACCAGAGTAGTCTTTTTTCCATTTGGGTACCCAATTTTGAGGAAAACACGCATGTGGGAAAAATTAAGAAAAAAATAGTAATTTCTTTACCCTTGTTAGGGAATTTCTATCGAAATAGGTGGCAACACTGGTCGTCCAATTATGTAAGGAAAAATCAAGACACCATTCAATGCCTCAATGTTATAAAATAAAGCTGTTAACTGTGTTATAGTCAACTTGACTGCATAGTGCATTCTTTCTTCTTTCTCCCATTTTGGCGTTTGACCTAGTACCTATACATATAAAGCCGATAATGATCTGTTGGTTATTTGGTCACTTCGTTCTGAAATAATCAAGGACCTAAAGAGGCACCTCTAGTTACCTAACTTAGTAACAGGTAACAGTTTACTTCAGTCTCTAGAGATCTGTTCGTTTGTGTTGCTGAACTTGCTAAAGTTGATTTTGTTTCCATAGTTGTCTCTGTTCATGGCATAATGTAAACAGAGATAGTCATAGAAAAAAATAAAGTTGAGCAGGGAGCAAACACAAACGAACAGGCTTAAAGGATCACTTTGTTCATCGCACTCCACACTTACATACTTTCAAAACAAAAATGCAGTAGGTATATACAATTCAACGGGGGTATGGCGAGGGGTACGGGATGGGTACGCGCCACTAGTGTAGTAAATTCGAGTAAATTGTAGGTACCTAAAATATCAAGTAGAATATAATGAAAGGAGCAACCAAATACGCATTATATGGAAGGTCTGAATGAAACGGAATAAAAATATGATAAATGATTGATACAAGGACATTCGGCACCAATGAAGAATAAGTAAATAGCGTGTGTTCCGTGTGGTTGCGAGTTGAAATGATTTCTAACCTCCTTGTTTCAGAACGTCAGTCTCGTCAATCGGGATGACAAGGAGAGGCAGCACGCCACTGAGGCCGACTAGGAGGGAACCAAACATGGCCCATAACCAAGGAATGTATTCCAATGTACAAATCCATTCTGGGACCAAATCCTTTATGACCTCCTTGTAGGAACTGTCGAAATTAGTTGCGTTTGTATCGGTGGAGCAGATGAAAAAATTCCCGAGCATTGCCATTGTTCTGTTTGGATGGACATCAACATGGAAACTCCGAATCACCCACACAACTGAAACTTTGTTTACGGAAAACGGATAATTTGCCGACTAATCTTCTCTGAGACTGAGCCGGACAAATTATATAGTTTTAGATTGTTGAGTTCAGATAAACTAATCAATATACACTCATCGTCATCGCATCACACACTACAATACCACAGCCAGTAAATATGTATTGTTATTTGTATGGTTTTCTCGACTCGCAGTTCTCTGAGAGAAGCGTGTTTTTGACGGATGATAACCCCACCACCACTACCAGTGGCATGACACGATGCAGTGTTGCCACGACCAATGGAAAAGTTTCAGTGAAAATTTTCATTTCATTATTTTGAAATACTTACTATACCCAGGCTACCCTAAACTAGTTCAGTGTCATAAACCGTTCCCTACTCAGAGTTCCGTTTTTTAAATAATTATCAAATCTAGGAACAATAACGTGAGAAAGCGCAAAGTTACCGTGACGACATAAACCGTAACCAATTAATACACAACTTTGGAGATGAATTCTTGCTATGTGTAGGTTCAAGGTTGCCAGTTGTTGAGAATTTCGAGTTAGCGTTTTTGAAATATGCTGACTGATAAATGAAATAAGTACATATTTCTATAAAGTTTAAAATGGGGAATCGTTGTATCAAATACCTCCTTCAAATAAGATGGAGAGATCAAAACTGCAAATGTTTTAGTCGGTATATTTTTCTTGAAAAAAAACATTAGATTCTGTCCTAAAAAAATAACTAATGTCACGAGTAGACAAAAATGAATAACCTCAGTCAGTGAGTTCATGAAATGATGGGATTGTGTCAAAGAAGAAAACTTTCATATATGTATAGTAAATATAAAGTGTGATAGAGAGGATATATATATATTCGTCACTCGCTTGTCATACTACTTAAGGGCATCATGGGAGCGCTTGATCATATCGTCACGTCACATCTAAAACATTAGCTTCATCGAAATCAGCATACCTACCTATACCAATATCCTTGAATTTGTTTTGAGAATCGTCCCTATATAACCAATAATACACAGAGCTTTTGAGACCAGCAGATATCTAGGTTAGGTTACCCTTGTATCAAACAATTTACTAGAAACTGTGCACACCTACTTCTGATTTTTCAAAGTGCACCCATTTATTGTATACTGTTTCATCCGGTAAAACCTGAAAAATTTAAAAGTTTTGAAATTAATCAATATTCCAAAGTATGCATTTTTTGTCTGAAATATTATTTTGGGAGATAACAATAGGGTGCAACAATTCAAAAAACCAAACTTTGGGGTGGTTTCTATTGTTTGACACCTGAATGATTCGATCTCATATTGATTTGGACAGTTTTTGATCCCATATACGAGGATAACAGAGGTCTATGCCATATACATATTACACGTTCTTCTGTCAAATAATAATATCCCAATTATCTGCTGGCCCAGGGCCGGATTATCGATTAGGCGGACTAAGCAATTACTGTCTAGGCCAGTCTAGGAGGCACGTACGCACCAAGAAAAAAAGTGAAATCAGAGGATTTAAAAAAAAATTATACGTCCTCGATAATATTCTTTAAATAACCGCGTCTTGTTTCATTTCTCTCCATCATGAGACCTGAATCATCACTTATTTATGACTATAATCTACTCATCAAGTCAAGGTAACCATATCTTGTTGCGATATCACATATTGATTGAAGTAACAGGATACCAAAGGAGTAGATCTGATCGACTCGACTTTTTGGTAATAGAAAATAGTAGATTGTTTTATTAGGATCAGAAGTGACACTTTGTTTGACAAGCGAATTTTGCATTTGCGAGGCGGAGCGTTTAGCGAAGCCGAGCGAAAGCAAAATTTGCGAGTCGAACAAAGTCACTTTTGATCCGAATGAAACATGCTATTTTTTCTGCAACCGGAACAATTAACTCAAACAAACATGTGAAGTAACCACCAATGCCATGCCATATGTATGCAATGCAACAAATATTGACAAATAATCCATGTGGTGAGAATATTCTACCTGCATCAACAGCAGGTTAGGTTTTCTAAGATGTTCGAATTGTAGTTTCAATATAAATACAACCACAGAGTGACATATGTGTGTATGGACCAGGTGCTCTAATGGCAAATACCGCGCCAGTGCCAGCTATAGGACCAAGACGTGGAAAATGTTAGGTTAGTGAGCATATCAACAACAATGAACTGAATGTATTGAGTTCATTGATCAACAATGATAATAGTGATTATTTATTCCTCTCCATACTACACTGTGTTTGACTTGATATTCAAAAGAAGCTAAACAATATCGTTGCTTGAGACAAAAAAACTATTGCTTGCCGTGATTATTCAAAGACAAGTTATCCACCCCGAGAATAACGAATGAAATACAGATCAAGCAAGTATTTGAATCTTGAAGGCTTCCCTGATCAAAACAAAAATACTTAACTGAGATGTTTATAATTCCAATACTAAACTATAATAAGGTGTATTTATATCTCCAGCATGGGTATGAAATGCCAAATCTGCTGAAATCGGAAACAAATCAGGTATGCGTCTCAACTCAAATAACCAACCGTCACAATTTTGTTTATTCTTGATGACGTCCAGTAGATCCTTTTTAGTTCCTAGGAGCTAAAGTTCAACTTCAGCTCCTAGGAACTAAAATTCAACTTTATAGCTCCTAGGAACTAAATATGTTGCCTAGCAACATACCTATTTTTGTGTCAGTAATAGAAACGTCAATTTAAGAGCTAATTTTGGTATCAAAATGGACGACTTTTGTGTCGGTTACAGAAAAAAGTATTTTGAATGGTAATAAGAAAAGGGTAAAGGAAAGGGGAACCGAGAATTGCATTGTCTAGGGGCCCCGATAGGGTAAATCCGGCCCTGTGCTGGCCTTTACGTCCTGAAGCACCCTGTATATGGAATGAAAAAAGGTAAAATCATGATGTTAGTGCGTCTGGTAGTATAATTATTCAAATTATTTCGAATGTATGCATAATTTCTGAAATTTCTGTGCACGGCGATCAAAATTAATCGATTTTTATTCGAAATATACTTACTCAAACACCCTCGACGAAAAATTTGTCTCAGATGAATAGCGCGACTCTATAACCATTGATATATCTTTGTTTCCATTCCTTATACAGGGTGTTTCTGAAATAGGGGAAATAAATGAAATGGATGATAGAAAACGAGAAAACAAAACGAAATAGAAGAAGAATACATATTTGCCGAAAAAAAATGAGCTTCGAAGTTTTCCTGGAGCTTCTGTTAATCATATGGATCAGAGGTTAGAGGCCCAACCAAGCACCTGAAATCAGTTACGTTTGCAATTTCGGAAACACCCTGTACAATCCAACAATGTATGTACGCTGATTCTAAGGTTCGACTATAATAAAATGAAGTTTAGCCCTAAAAAAGCCATACTGGCAACACCGGTACAGAACATCTGCGACTGCGACTGCACGAAAACGACCGACGACCGATCCGCGAACGTCATTCCCTATGAGAGTCATTCCACCACGGCTGAAATATTCTTGGTCCTTGAAAACATCGATCAGGTTAAATGGCCGCAGGAGTGGATCCAGCCAGGGGAAGATTGAGCGGGAACCATAGAAAGTCAGCAAAATCAGGAAAAGTCAGACGTGTTATACAATATGAGTTCGTACCTCTTCCTCGGAACTTTTGATCTGCTGGATATTACTGAAAAATATATTTTTGCTTCGATTAACCAAGCCAACACATATAGCATATCGCAGCGATGTCCCTTCGTGACCTGCGACTCGCATCGTAACGTCGCACAGACGTCCTGGCGACTCACTTTTGTCATACTAATGATGCATGCTGGCGACGTCTATGCGATGTATAGTTTTGAGACGTCGCAAATATGTCTCTTGATAACGTATCAGGAAGACAGCGACATAGCAGCGGAAATTAATACATTCATAACAAAAATATAAAAGGAGAAATTCTCTGTCACACTCAAATTGAGCTTATGGAGACTTCGATCGCGAATATCTTCGTAATCGTTTGAAATAACCCCATCAAACCCGGTATCATTGAATTCTTCATAATATTCCCTGACAGATTATGGAATGAAATATGTAGGGTGTTCCATTTGAAAATCGAAAGTTGATGTCATTTCCAGGAAAACCGGAAGATGAAAAGCATTTCCTAAGATGTGAAAAAGTGCCCTCTAGTGAGCATATTCGATTTCCAAATTTCAGAAATATAAAAAAGGAGAAAATGGGAAAATACCGTGATGTAATTGGTGCATGGAATTCAAAATTGTATATAATTTGTTCGATATGTCTTACATAGTAAAGATTTTACAGGGTGAAATTACTGAAACCCAATATTTTCCACGAAAAAAATATTTTTTCTAAACAACCCCCAAACGCACAGAACGATTTCTCGACGACAAGTGGATTCATGATCTGGAGATGGTAGGTAACAATTCTAGCCATGTCATTGCTTTTTACCTACGATATCTCACGAGCTGAACAATTGGATCTGATTGGCACTCTACAAGTAGGCCTTTTTGAGTAGTAGAAGTACATTCGAAAAAAAAATGGAATCATTCACACTCTACAGACACTCTACAAAATAATATGAAGGTATATTTTGAGTATAAATTCCCAGTTCTAACACAAATACATCTCTAAGATGTTCTCGCGATGTCTCATCTAGGACATCTGATATTGTCGCGAGGATGTAGCCGTTACATCCGCAAAACATATATATTTATGTCATACTCATGCGATGTAGATGTAAGTTCCTTTGGAATATCTATTCGAAGTATCTATGCGATGTATGTATAGATAGAGTTTACTTTAGAGATATTGCTAGAATAATATGTGTATGCAGACAGATAGATTTCAAGTCAAGAGATAAACAATAATAAATAAATCAAGATAAGAATATATCTGATAATTAGTATTCAGCGAGTGGCAAGAATGAAAACTTTAACTGTGGTGTAAAAGAGCAGATTCTGAGAACAACAACAAAATCCTATCCTTGTCCGATCACGAAGAGGCTGTATCATGCGTGGTTGCCATGGTTGCCATGGTTGCCATATTCATTTGATCTCACTATACCGGGTGATGAGATAGGGTCATTCCCCAATATATTCATGCATCGATTTGAATAGAATTTGGTGCGTGAATATAATTTATAGTTCAAAATGATC